TTGGCCGTTTTTTGTGTGCTTTTTGTGTTCTTAACGGTCTGATACCTTTGCTATCGTCTATAATACAGTTTACGTCAATAAAGTCATGAAAAATTCGTGCGAACGACCTGGATGCCGTTTCGCTGTTACATCTGGCATACAGTGTGATAATTGCAAAGGTTGATTCCATCAAGTGTGCACAGATCTCACAGCAACTGCCTACAACAAACTCAGCAAGTCGGATGATAAGTGGGTATGTGTTACGTGCAACACGGATGCTGTAGTTTTGCTGAGTGACAGCATTGTCTTATTAACAAGTCTGCGGAAGAAGTTGTCAACAAACTTGGAAAAAAGGCTGTCATACAACGGGTAGACAAGCAAGGACGCTCAATGAACACAAGAATAGGGATGTCGACAGGTCTAATATCGATGGGGCATGCAATAGCACTTGTAGTGACATGCTGAAACTCAGCACCATCATTCCGTCAACGGTAATGGACTCCCTCAGCAAACTCGAGTCTTCCAGTACAGGGTCCTTGAATGCAACAGTGGTTCTCAAAAACTCTGTAGGTGATTGGACCCTCGTTAACAGGGCTAAAAATGACTAGGTGTCACCGTCTAAGCTGAACATCACAAGTATTATACGGAAATCAACTAATGACTTGGCCGCACAGTCTATCCTCAAGAATATCCGTCCGGTCATCAAAGAGCCTACGATTCAGAAACATGCTTCGACCTCGAAACAACAGGGTGCTGAACCTAAACTCACCTAAAAACCTGGGAAAACAATGACGGTTCGTGATGACTCTCGTAATTATGAACCTCAAAGACAACCCTGACCTTCCTCTCAGTTTGCAGGACAAAAGTGACAGGATGCTCTGGGGTGAATTAAACAAAAAGCTTGAACTTCTTAAAATAGAGCCTTTGACCGTCACGTGGCTCATTCGTGGAAAGGACTATTAGCATCAAAATCACCCGAGGCTACTTAAGAATGCTACCGGCGTAGAGTATGTCCTGCTAGCTAGTCATTTACTGAAATCCGATGGGAACGTAAGAATACTGCCCGGTATATCGTATTCTGAGCGCAATCTCATTCAGAACATCCCTAAAGAATCTCGCGAGAAGTTTTTCGAAGGTGCAAGGTGTACTGGAAAACACGGACTCTATTCAAACAAACTCTGATATTAGGGAGTGAAGATTCAACAGGCGATCCTTGGGGCTCAAAAATATACTGACTCAACATGTGACGAGACTAGACAATAGGATGGAGATTCTAGACCCCGGCTAATGAAGATAACTTTCCCAGCCTCCCATACGGCGGCTGCAATTCTGGAAGCATTTCGCGCCGACAGACGTCGGTTGCCAGCTGGAATAAGTATGCATCCGAATAGACCAAATGACGCCAGGACCAAGCGAAAAGGCAAGTTGGAGCTGAACATTCCAATTATGGACTGTCCTGACCGTTAAAAAACGTGTAAAGGACAGGCCCTACGGACTCGGCGAACCTTATATAGGTAGGTTACCTGTCCGTTCACGTAAGGCTCATACAGACAAAAACGGGGAAGCTCATACGTCTCAAGTTGAAAGTATAAAATACTTATCCATGAACGACATCAGTCTTCCAAATAAAATGAATGAGCTACGTGAACTTTGCAACGATAATAATGATAATCTGATAAAAATATCTGAAACTTGGATATCTTCTCAGTTCTCGGACCAGGAGCTACCAATACCTGAGATGTCTTTGTTTCATGAAGGGTCACTCTTGTATAACCAACTTGCTGACTGCAGTAGACAGATGGACAAGCATCCTTGATCACAAGGGGATGGCCATTACCATTTACCCTGATTTCTCAAAGGCTTTTGATAGTGTCAACCACATATGTCTTATCAATAAGTTGAAACGGTTGGCTGTCAGATTACCTCTAATCGACTGACTCATTTCATATCTGAAAAGTTGGCATTTTAAGGTTAGGATTAAATTCACTTTTTCTCAGACTACGGAATGTTCTAGGGGGGTTCCCAGGGGCTCAGTATTAGGACCCCTTCTCTTCTTGATTTGCAATAATGATCTTCCACAACAGGTATCGTTGGACGTACTGCTTTTTGCTGATGACATGAAACTTTGGAAATGGATACGCAAACATGAGGATATACTGGCACTCCTGGAGGATCTGACTCGACTTCAAAGTTGAGTAGACGATAACGGACTTACCTTTAACACTTCAATATGTAAAGTAGTCCGTCTGCGACATGTTGCAGACTACAGTTACAAATTAAGAAACTCCTCTCTGGTGGTGCCCCGAGTCGAAAACAATTTAGTAGTCCTGGCATCCTACGATTTAAAGTCTTACGCTAACTGTGAGAGAATCTTGCAGTGGTTACATTGAGGCGCATTTTCGGCCAGTTTGGCGGAAGAACGTTCCGCATAATCTTTAACATTTTCATTCGTCTACATTTAGAGCACGGAGACGCAGTATTTCCTCCCTCACTACAAAAGGATGAGGACACTCCGGAGCGTGTCCAACGGCGAGCCACGAAATCAGTTCGGGGACCCAGATTCAAACCGTATGAAGAGCGTCTCCAATCACTTGACCTTAACATATCAGAGTATAGGCATCTTAGAGGTGAACTTCTAGTAGCTTACATTATCCTTAACACTTCTAAACATCCCCTTAAACACCTAATTAAGTTTAGCTCCAACACAAACCTAAGAGGTAACACCCAGAAACTGCCGGCTGAGGTAATCCAAGCGACTTCCCATGAGTCCTTTAAGAGGCAACGTGACCTAAGCATAACATCTCATTATGATTTGCCAATTTCTTTTTTCCTCTATTATCGTTAATATACCTAGATTCCTGTCTGGAGGTATTGGTGATCCACTGCTACTAGACACAGAAGCCCATTGAGCGAAAGCTTCTTCTATTACGTCCACGACCATTTGAATGACATGTAATGAATTGGGCTTAAAAAATCTTTTTCAGAACAGACACTATGTCTCCAAATTTTAGTGATTTTAAAAAGTATTAGACCTCAGTTGTCATATTGTAGACTATGGTTTGCCAGGACTAGAAACGTATATGAACTTTCCTTAAACCAACTTGCTTTTGTGGACGTCAGCATTTTCAAAAGCTCGCGTTACAGACGAAGATGGATTGTGTCCTTGCACCACTATTTGCAATAGTTGAGTGCCCTAGACTAAAAATAAAGAAACCTAGTTTCATAACATGGCCGTCTCCAATGGTTTTCTTTTCCATTCTCATACTTAGTTATTTTTTAGTCACAGGTGGTAAGATCTGATTTGCACTTGTGTTTTTATGCTTATGATTGTTAAGGGTTGTTTTTACTTTTATTGGGTTCACATTTATTGCGTTATGTGCTAGTGAAGTTTTTATTGTATGGCATCTGTTATTTACAGGGTATTTGACAGTTTTATCAGCACCCCGATTTAAACCGGTTTTCTTCAAGACACTTATCATGATATAAGATATGGATAAAAAATTGTATAATGCACTTGTATAATATGAAATCATTTGATTCTTTATGAGACATTCCAACTGCTAAAATGAATTATTGCATATTCAACTCATCGTAGGATTTAACCTAATTCAAATGTACTACTAGTACTTACCATGGATGTGGTTCATAACTTGGGACGTCCTTTACAGGGTACTTCGGGCGGATTGGATTATCAATAATCACGAAATTATTGAGGTCTGTTTTCACATCTGAAGATCTCGCCCTTGATAGCTACAGCTCACGTAAAATACCCTAACGGTCACTCAAGGTTCCTGTGCACTCTGTAAGACGGCGGTTGATCCTCAACCATATTCCATGTGTGAGCTGCAGTTCTGTATGCGAAGCCAAGTGGCATTATCTGCACCACAAAAATGCAGCGACTCGGGTCATGGAGTATGCTGTCAAGTTATTATTGCGACTGCTACTCTCTCGGTACCCTTGGTTTAAAACGCATGATTTTAGAGGGTTATCTGTCGCAAATTCCAGTCAGGCAATGACTTTCACAAGGTCTTTTCCCGACCAAAACCAAGGCGAAAGTTAGTGTGTAGATGTGGGTTAGTGCCAGACGACTTCTGCGCATCCCGTTCCCCCAGAAGCTATCTGTATTCACAGGTTTTAACACCAACGGATTGAAACTTCATTTCAACCAGAGTCGACTACTAAAATGTGACTAAGCACTTGTTAGTCGTACGAATATCCCTTCTCGAGATGTGTCGCTTCTTAATGTATACCTTTTGTATTATGTGACGAAAAAGGTATAAATGTTGGCTTATTAGTAAGTGTAAACAAGTCTCAAGTATAAGTTCTAATGCCCGACAAATGACTTTTCCCCGCAAAGTATGGGCCACCTCCGGAAATAACTAGCAAAGTGATCTAACAAGTGTATAGTTAGTTTCTGCCCATTTTTTTATATCATGATATTTTTATGCCTTAATTTCATACTGTGAAATGCAAGCATTAAAGTTAAAAGTCGGTTAAGAACTGGTTGATCGTACATTGTTGTGCTTATGTGCATGGTTATTTCGCCATACAGGGGTCATTTACGATATGATCGTTGGACCACCAAGCATGGGGACGGAAACCGACTCCAGGGGCAATCAAAAACCGGTAAGTCATATTCAACATTTTTTCAATGAGACTTAGGTAGCTATCATGGTTTGGCGCCTAAACAGTCAATACATACTCGAAGGACTTGCAGCCAGTTTTATGTTTGTTATGGGGAGTTTCGGATTTATCGTAATGGATAAAGTCAATGAGGCCAAGGTCACGAAGTTAAACCGTATATTACTGATGGCACTAGGAATCGGATGCATCTTAGTATCGTTGCTTACCTTACGGATTTTTATCAGTACTAAATTACCGTAAGTTACAATATTTAATCTAATCTTGCCTCTTAGGTCCTACATGCGGTGATTTCCTAACAATTATAAATAACTTGAAGACCGTTTCGTGCCAAATCAAGTCGTCAACTTCCGTGTAATTCAGTTCCCGAAGTCACATGGTTTATTTATTATAGAACTTCTTATATTTCTTCATAAGTTATAACAAAATTTCACATATATATGTATTATCTCAAAAATCGTCCGGGCAATTTAGAATATAAGGCCTCTTTCCAGTCGCCACCATTTGCCATGTATGCTAGCATTATATCGACGACATGATTTATCGCTAACACAGGGTTAGATATTTCTCCAGATGTGAACTCTTCAATTGGGAGTCGCACGGCACGGTAACCCTGATTCTCAGCTTCTTGTCGGCTTCGTCCCTAGAAAGAATAAAAGTTAACGTATAGTGAGTTGCAAAATAAGAATGAGACCTGATTACAATTATTATTAGTAGTATAACAATAGACGCAACCTGGAAAATACTGAAATGAATTTGATTACAATTCATATTTACTTCCATATTTGTTCTAAACAACTTTTCTTGCGTGCAGTATTTATCTGCTTAAATAACAGCGTCGAAATATGAACGATCAGTATCCATTTCAGTAGAAACAATAGGTGCAGTTTATACTTGCGACATTTGAAAACCAAACATCATATCAACTGTCTATCACTTCATTCATAGAAAATGAATGCATTGAGTCCCTAGCGAAGTCTTTCGGAGCATAGTAGTTATTGTACAAATCAGAAACTAATCAGAAAGACTAACAGCCGTTCGGGATCAGGAAAATTACAATAAGAAGTAATGACAATCTAACATTTATAAGCAAGACGAGCTAGGAAATGTCGGTGGTTGACAAAAATACTAATAGGACAAGTATATCAATATTAAACTGTCAGAATGAAAAAAACTATTAGTGTCAAATATTTTATATATGTACATATACACTGCTAATCTACATCGCGGAGTAGCCATGTTTTCTGATATTTAACACGAGTGCTAACAGTCGCTGATTGTAAATGAGTGGATTCAGCTACTTGACGTCTTATCTACTTTCGTCACCACCGTTGTCTAAAAAAGCAAAACCTGCTACAATTTTGCTTTTCAATATTTTGAAAGGAAGCAATTGTGGTTTAGGAATTTGAAGTCCTCTGAATCTGTCACAGTTTGTAGGGCATATTGACTTTTGGTAGCCACTTATTTTTTAGCGAGTCAGTTATGGTTTTAGCCTACCGTTAAATTTTGGAACAGAAGAAACCAACGCCTTACGAAGGTTTATGAATATTTTCCCTAATAAAATGACCACAAGTGCTAATCAGAACTGTATATTCTTTCTAACCTTTATAGGGGTGTAAGGAAAATGGGTGAATAAACATAATAATCACAGTCATTGCATAGTAGATAAAATTAAGCATCAAACTAAGAGTGCATATGAAAAGTCAGTGACTCGATAAATAGCAGCAGTAGATGATTCAAACAACAAAACTAAACACTGTTATCCAAATCTTGAACATTTTCTTATTTTATGTCTAGTTTTTCCTTTTAATTCGTCTATTTGCTTCTGTACATTGGGCTAACTGAGCGAACAGTTGATGGTAGTATATCTGACGATTCGATTTGGGTCTACTTACTACACAAAATTATAACTACTGTTAGCAAATGAATAAGTTTTTTACTATAGAGTATTACCTTTAATATATGCTCGTCCACAAGACATCCTAGGACGTACGCACAATTTTCCGATATAGATACCAATGGTTCCTTTGCGTCCGGACTGAGGTACACGATTTCTATATTTTCTGGTGTGATGCTTGATGGTGTTTCAGAGTACAATCCAATCTATGAGATAGTTAAATAGCACTTTGTAATAAAGCGAAATAATACAAAAACTGTACATCCGGATATGAATCGTTTCTGTCAAGAAGATAGAAGCGCACACGTACATACGACTATTTACCAGGCTAGTGAGATAGTGGAGCTACATCATTGGTAAACAACAGCCGATCGCGCACTACAAATAGGATTATGTTCTATATTATATTTTATGCAAATGCTGTTGTTTCAGTGGTTTTTGAAACAACGATGGAGCAAAGGTTGATGGGTAAACAGACATAAACCTACTTTAAAACATCAACTATGAAATTCCAGACCACCTATAGCATGCTTAATAACGTATTACAAAGCTGTGGTTCACTACCTCAACTAGTCGGGTTGATACAACCCCTATCTGAGCAATAAGGCAGCAGTACCACTAACCCTCTCAGGATTCATCACACAACAGTTAAATTCAGAGAAATGTAAAATCCATGGTGTGTATGGAGAGACTAGGTCTAGACATTTACGATTTACTCGTAGGTCCCTACCACATGAATGTGTGATTAATCTGTAATTGAACTTCTTGCGTACTTCGGTGTTGGAAATTCGACAAGATTTCGTGTCAGTTCTCGGACATTATTCCCCAACTGTAGGATGTTAGTAATGCTTAAATTCCTTGATGTTCGTAGGATAGCTGGTTTTGTGTCCCAAAATCTTACTTTCCCTTTATCAATAGACAGACCCAATTTTATCCAGTAGTTTATAAATAGTGGGCCCTCGAGGCAATCAGCTATCGTTTAGCATTTTCAACAAAACCTTTTATAACGTATAACAATATAATATCGTCGCTGAACGATATTGGACCCTGAGGAACGTAACTAACGTTAGAAAGTAGAGACACAAGCAACACATCAAAAGGCTGTGTATGAAATCTTAGCTACTGATCATCTAGTCAACACAAATCTAAAGGGAGTTGTGTCAATTTTCAACATAAGAATTTTAAAATATCTAAATGACACTAGATCCAATCGACGCATTTTCAAGAATAAGCTTTTCCCAACACAAAGGTTAAGAGGTGGAGAATACGAAAACTGTTACATTTACAAGACACTGACCTTATACTTTAGGAATCCATCACATTTGGACTGGCAAGCATGGAACAAAGGTCCATGTTGTGAGAAATTCACAAGGTTGATGCTTAAGGGCTTCGTTGCTTTTTTGTTTGCGCCATAAAGACGACATAGTTGTTGAGCGAATTTATTACATTCCTACAAAGTGATAGTTTTCCGCGTCAACACGAACTTTAGGAGACATAAGAGCTTCATAAGAACAATCTATGTAGATCCTTATTCCTTCATACAGTGCGATCTGCAATCTGTTGGAGACCTCCTTTCTTAGGAACTTTTTGCTGTGATAACGGTTTAGTTCTATATCTTCCCTTATTTTATTGCGCGAAGCTATCTTCCTGCGAACTTTTTCCTGTTTTCGCCTTTCTTTTTTGCGTTGAAGTATTCGACGATATCTTTTTTGGCAAGAATCTATCGAGAACATGTTGCGATATATTTGGTAACTAACTTGACATCTTTTGATTTTTTAAACCCTAAAAAGATCAAAGCATGTGTCAGTCGAATCAACGAATAATATTAACGTGATGTAGGTTTTTTATTCATAAAAGGACCTTGATTAAGAGGTAGTTTAGTAAGAAAGGCGTCCAAATTTCAACCACCAGGTGGGTTATTACCTTACTTCACTTACATCAGTCTGACAAATTGAGCCACAAGTAATGAAGCTGCATGTCAAATGCACTTGTTATATGAAACATATCTGCTTTAATTTTATAACGGAAAGGCTACTCCATTTATATTTAAGCAGATGATTGAAATCCGTAATTAAGAATGTACTCTCCACCATTATATTGCAGAGTACCGCTTAATGTTGGTATGAGCATCTGTAAACAATGGCTGTCAAAACCGATCGCTCCAAGATGAGAACCCTCAGCAGTAGCATATTTCCACTTTGTTCACATTCAGACAAGCTGGTTGTTCTATAACTTCCTTATTATGTGAAGTTATCAGTTATATCTGTTTCCGTTGTGGTCTATTTCTTGACTCCCTGTTAAAAGACGCAGTCCAAGATTCGTTGTCATACAAGTCTAGGTTATGTAGCTTGATGAAGATTCTTTAGCAAAAGCGTTTATTATTCGATTATCCAAACAAACATAAATTTTCAAATATTTCACTTAATAACATGATTGAGGCTGGTATCTGAAGTCAATTGTGTACCGCTAACTATGATGGATACCAGCCGCCGTCATATGAACAATAACGATATCACGTCAATGCAGAGTTTTTGGAACGAACTGTTAAACCTCATTCAGTAGTTGACTAAATTCGTGGGTACCCAATCAACATGTTTGGTTCTTTCAGTCCCATTCTTTTCCACATACATGTATGGTAATGAGATCCTAAAAGCATGACCATTTGCTTAACTTGCCGCTAGGACAGGTTGATATAAACCTAGTAATATTGCTATCGATGGGTCAGTGAACTTAGGTCTGATCGCGGTCAAAGTTTGTTATCTTACGATGATATTTACTGCTAAATATCCTACAAAGATGTATTCGAGATGCGGTTCTAGCCTGCAACTATGCGAGCATTGATTGAACAACAATAAATTAATGATATCCCAATCTCCCAAGTTTGGGGAAACTCTCTAAGTCAAATGACCTTCACCAAGGTCAAAGGGGGAAATATTGGGGAATTTCCTCAGGTTTGGGGAAAATTTCAAGTTTTAGTACCATTTTCCCTAAATTTCTTCGAAGTTTACTACAGCGGCTTCCCCGAAATTCGGAGTCCGGGTTATATGGATAGTGGTGAGCTCGAGCTCACCAACATAACATAGATACTGAGGATCAAATATTACCAGAAGACTACATGCCATCATAGAGTTTTGCGTCTAGCCAGAAAGTATTTAGTGTACTAGGGGAACGCGGAGAGTAGAGTAGTCCCCCAATCATTAATGACGGTTAGAAAACACAAAAAAAGAAGATCGAAGACTAATTATGTGCACACAGTACACTTACATTTATAAAAATTAGCAATAAAAAACAACCAGAAATAACAAGCCTCAGATTATGACAATCTAGGTAGGAAGCTGGGGTCACAATTCATTCAGCTAGGCAAGGTAAAAAGGCAAGGTTTAAACGTTAGGTCCTTTTAAAATGTGCCCGCCCTTTCGTTTCAACGACCTTGAACGGCTTGACTAGAGGCGGTCATTCCGTATTTCAATTGCCGTGGGTTGGTTGGATTGCATGCGTATCAAGTTTTTTCATATATAAGTCATCTTATGCTACATAAAAAAGCACGAAATAAATACCAAAACCATTAATTTAGCGTCCTCTGTTTCGTTGTGTACACTTTGGCTCTGTTGCTGCTTTGTAATTTGATCTTTGATCCCAACAACTGTAGTAAAGCTCAAAGAAATGTCAAGTCACAGGTAAATCCTAAGTATTTGTAGTATTTCCTTGGGTTATTATTGTTGCATGGAATAACCTTTTAATAATTAGTCATTTCTGTTTTTAGTGCTTCATGCTCAAGTGACATTTCAGTCGACCTAACCGATGCCTTTCGAAGTATGATACTGAACAAGCGTTTCGTGTTGTGGGATGATTTTGAAAGCGCCTTAAAAGAGTTCCAAAAAGTATGGAATTATAATTTTATCGCTTCTCAGACTACTTATACTCGTTACATCCACACAGAATGCAGATTGCTGAAGGATGTCAGGTTCAAATACCTGTTTGTATCGTTTAATTGTACGTTTGGTCATAAGAGGAAATCGGAAGGTTTGAAAGTGAGGCAAAAATCGTAACATCTTTAACTATTATCTTATGTTTAAGGTCTAAATTCCGTAATTGTCAATCTAAATTTCGTGTAAGACTAGAGAAGCAAGGATATGTCATCAAATCCTACAACATGCTCCACAATCATCCATGTAGTAGTTCATGGATGGTATGTGATCCATGGACAAAAAGATTATCGTCAGAAGAAAAAGAGAACTTGAAGCCCGTAATACTTCACTGTGAGTCAGCAGATGAAGTTATCGAAAACATTAAGGAGAAAACTGGTAAGCAGGTAACTGCTGCCGATGTCAAAGGTGTACAAGGCTTTAAAATGGAGTGAATATGAAAGCGGCGACTGGTTGTTTATGGTTGACCGCGGACAACATTATGAAGTGGATATAAGCATTTGTCAATGCAATTGTAGCACGTTTATGATGTGTCGATATCCCTGCCGTCACATGCTACTTGCCTACGTTAAAAGACGAAATCTTACAGGTAAGCTATATCAATTGTGAAATACTAACTGCATAGCTCATCAACTTCTTAGGTATTGTAGCAGATGGAAGTTACATAATACCCAGAACTTCCAAAATTATACATTAACTGCATTACCACGACGGAGTGAAGTGTATATAAGTATTCAACGAAGCCAAAGAATCCATAAGCATCGCATCATTGAGAAGCATGGTGAACGTTTCGCAACGGAAGTTGATAAGAAAGTGGACAATTATTACTTAAGAATTCTTAATACCAACTTGTAAACTTGATTTTCTGCTTTAGCAGCAATGATTATTCAATAAACTTTCATAATTTTAATCTTATTCCTACTTTCATGGGAATGAATAGCAATGACGTTCATGTGTAACTGTTTATAATAATTAAGAATGATTAAGAAACCCTACATCCACGTACAGTCTTGCAGATTAGGCACCCACATATCATATTCACCTTCGTCGGATTACGTTTATAATTAAAATCGTATCAGTAGCTAAGATTTTAATTTCATGTGATTAGTCCCGCTTATGAATTAAAATGAAACCAGGAGAAATGTTGATTAACAGTGGTATGCATTCCTTATAACTAAATATGCTTTAGGATTTAACGGTGATGTGGGAAACAGTTGACATACCTTAATATGAATAATTGAAATGACGTGGGTTATCAATAATGACTATATATATATATATATATGGGTGCTGGAATAAATCGGTAACTAAATTTTAAAAGTGAAATGAATTATTGCATAATCCACCTTATTACTTGTTCATTCCATGGATTATAAGGAGTTCATATTATTCTCTATCTATATTTGTTCTAGCGTCATATCGACTATTAATAAATACGGACACGGTTTATAAAGTAAGACACTGAGTGTAGTTGCTATATTTATATTTCACTAATTCATTAGTTGAATAAAAATGTTACTAGGCAATACGGAACACAGTTAACGTGAACATGTAAACCGTTTTTTAACATGGTCTTTTATAATAACAAATTCTATAAGTTGTAGACCGGCGTAAACATCACAAACCTTTGACGACTTTATTGTATTCATACAATTCTGAAAAACAAACAAATCAGTCGTGAAATAAAGAATTAGACCTAGTTATCAGTATCACATTCAATAAGTACATCAAATACCAGGTTACAGAATGTACCTATAAGTCTCTTATTTGCAGACAGCGCTAATCATTAGAGATTTCTATTTCCTTTAATATAAATTAATAGGTAATCTTTACAACACACAAATCAATGTTATTTAAAAATTGCTGAAATCAGTTTCGTCACAACATAGAAGCGTGGTCTGAATTATGAAGAAAATGTAATTCATTAATGTGGCATAAAGGAGATATGAATACAAGAAACTTGTGATTCTGCTTCCATTGCTCATTCACTTTTCGTCACGTTGTCTGCATGAATTACTTCGGACGAGTCAGTCTGTAATGCAGTAGGAATTCATGAATTAACTCATGAATAGTTGTTTTTTTATTCAAGTCTGTGTCGTAACAAGCAGAGGGGATTTATTCAATGTCTAACCCTTGTAGTATTTCGTATATACATCTGGTATTAGCAAGAGAAATTGGTAAGTACCATTTAGATATTACTCGACAATATGCATCATAACTTTGTTCACATTTTCGTCTGCGACTGTGCATTTCGTTTACAGAAAATTATTCGTCGACCCTATAACAGACACATCATAAATCAATATTAAGTACGACATGGTTTTGTCACCATGCTCAGAAGAGACACCCATTGTTTTACTTATGAAGATTTTGTGCCTATTTAATGTGGTGTTATACACTGTTCCTGTATACGTTCAGAAAGCCGGTAAAAAAGACTATCAACATCAATTCTTACTCACATAATTTTTCTCTGATACGTTACACAATAATATGTCACTTCAATACAAAACAATGCTACCTTTAGTGCAAATAACCTTTTATAGCTAAATACAAACAATTTATATAATATTCATAGTTAGTTTAATGCTTACTTCTTTCTGATTACATTTTATAAACGACTACGAACATCTATGTTTGCCGTCACCATAATCAAGGAGGTGAACCATATATAATGCTTTTCACGGCTTATTTTCATGAACAGTCAATCTGTAATCTATTTTTGACTGGAAAAATGGTGATTTGACTTGTTTGACTTTGTATTGTTAAAAAATAACCATATTACGGCAACTACATATTTACTTAGGAGGTGAGCACGAAATACGTCAAACTGCTTATAAATTGAAATAAATACTATCTTCCAATCACAAAGATTACGAGAAGTCACGTATGATGGAAAAAAGGCTGTTAATAGCTGATAAATAACGAAACATAAAATCCACGACAATATGTTACATGTGCGCGAAAACCCGTAAACTAACACGCATAGTGTGCCGGTAAAAACGGTAATCCCTTTCAAATCTGTCCGCCGTTTCGTTTCAACGACCTTGAACGCGCTGACTGGAAGCGGGCATTCCGTATTTCAATTGCCGTGTGTGTGTTGGGTCCTATGAGTATTAAATGTTTCCATATATATCATTGCTAAGTGGGTCTTTCAGGTAAATGGATATTGTCGTAACTGTTTGTTTTACGCTAGTCAGCTTATTTGTATCAATCCATCATAATTCTGTGAATCAACTCGATACTGTTAACTTAAAAGTCACTATTAGTGAATTACCTCTGTTTTACTTCATTAATACCCGACACTTTGGTACTGATGCATTATGGATATATATAACAGGAAATGAAACTTCACCTGACATCGGATCGCTCATACCCTACGTATGGGTTGAGATCAACTGTTTTTCTACTAATCTGAAGATTGAGTGGGATAAACTCTTTACAAGGAGAAAATATTACTAATTCATTAGCCCTTCTATGTAGAAGGAAATGTGTTATACTTGACAACATTTCTGGCAGGAACCCATAAGTAAAGTACCCGGACATTAATTGAAGTGGAAGATTACCGTAGGTATAAACCAACGGAAATATTACAACATGTAAGCATAGGACTATTTTTGTTCATGCACTGACAGGTAAGCTATCAATCACTGATCATTTTCATTTTTCAATTGCGCTGCTTCATCTGTAGCTACTTATGCACAATACTTGCGTAAGCCTTTTCGTCCTGAAATGTAAAGAGATGACTATAAAGCATAGAACGCCACGTAGAGTGCAAGATCCGGAAAGCATAATGCCACATCATATTTTAATACCTCGTTTCACTAAACCTACCAGCATGTGGCGGTAGATAAGTCCCTGAAATCAATAGCTCTGTAACTTTTCAACATTTGGTTCTGATCGCATTAGTTTTACTTGACTCATCTAGCTGAAGGAACTCGTTGAAGCATCCTCACCTGATCACGAGTGGGTACTGTGTGACTCGCTTCTGCTACAACAGCTGGTCAGCTCAGATTAGTCACCTCTCGGTATATCGATATTCTATCAAACATACTTTCGAGCCACTTCGCTTCTGATTTCAATGCGTTGGCACGTTTCGACTATAAAATATGTTACAAATAAGTTCTGCCAAGCTCCGAACACTTGTGGCATCTTCAGTAGTGAACTCGACGTGATCTGGCACACCTATATGTAAATTGTGAGTTTGTTCCCTTCTGAAGCCTTGTTTATCAATTTTTATTTTTATTTTTACATACTGTGATATTTTTTGGTATTTTTTGGATATCTTGTTTCCTCATTCTTTGCTCTAATTTATATTCATCATGACCGAACAAACACCCAAATTATCTAAGACCAAGACTCTCACACCACCCTCATTTCACCTAATGCTATTCTGTTATAACCATATCAACGCCTGCTGCACAGTAGCTGAGTTCCACGAACACAATATGACCAATCCACGTGCAAAATTCCTCGCTGTAGTGAAGGCAATACCACGCGAATTCAGAAGGCACATCACACCTAGTATGTTTACTGGTGATGTCTCGGAATCGTGCGAAACTTTAAAAAGTGCTATTCTTTGGCACCCAGGTTTAACCGGTCGGCAAGTGTTGGACCAGCTCCTCATTAACATCGATATATAACGTGGCTGAACAACAGATGTGGTATTATTAACGAGAGAAGTCATTGGTCAATAGGCCTTTGGCGAAAGCCTGTTTAGACAACATTTCTTGTCTAAGCTTCCCCCATAGGTGCAAGAAGTTCTTGTCTCATTTAAAAACAACGCTATAAACAAGCCGGCCGCATCTGCCGACCGAAATACGGAGATCACCAGAACTTCGAACAACAATGTTCATTCAGCCTATGAAAAGCCTCAAACGAAACAAAATAACGCTACTGAACTCCGTCAAACTCTGAAGTGTGACCTTAGTGTTCGTCACGATCGTGGACGATCTCAAACCCCTCGAAGGAGTATTTCACGAAAATGATCTGTCTTAAGGTCAAGAGAGAAAGGTGACCCTGATTGGTGCTGGCATCATAATCAGTGAGGAAACTGCTCTCGAAACTGTAGAAAAACCCTACGGTTCCCCGGGCCTTGAACCAACAGACACGAAAAGTGTCTCGGGAAACTTCCCAGATGCGACGCGTTAACAGCAGCCATAACCAGTGGATATAACCATCTGTCATACATCACCGATGTGATTAAGAAAGTTCGCTACCTCGTCGACACCAACGCAGGGGTTAGTGTCCTTCCAGAATATCCTAACGGTCGATTACACGACTTACAGGCAACATGTAGGAAACCAATCTCTACATACGTTAAGCGGTCTGTTTATCTTAATGTAGTCTTACTCAAACCCATCCATCATTTGGGATCGGGTTTGTATTCGCTCTGTTGTATTTGAGGATCTTGCTATTTTTCATGTTTATGTGGAGGCCCACTGATGCATAAGCTGCTGCTACACTTGTTGTTTTCATCTGCATTTGTTTGTGTTTGCGGAATAGAAGGATCAGGTCATCTGTGAAGTCCGGGTCGTCTAGTCGCATCCAATCTGACCATCGTATTCCGAGCTTTCCGTCAGATTTGAGGGTCTTCGTAGTCCAGTCGGTTAGCATAATATAATATAATATATTTCTGAAAGGGCTGGTATACTCCAGTTTTACCAGCATGATCTACAACTTACAACATTTATTGGTTCACAGTACGCATGAAAGAGAAAGACCAAGGGCTAGCAACTCTGTCTGACTCCGGTACTCATTTGAAATGCAACCGTCAACTGCCCCCTATGCATGAATTTGCACTGTTGTCCGCCCTGTAAGTTCCGTATTATATTGATGGTTTCCTCAGGTACACTGTAGTGTCGAAGATGGTTCACAGACAATCCGTAATCTGACGGTTTGGCCTGTACATAACTGATCCTTACGGAATCCAGCACGCTGAATAGTTCATCCTTTCTGGCGACAATCTGTTGAAAAAGTCTACTGGTACCGCTGATCGTGTGGTGCCTTTACAGTTCTCATATTTGCTCAAATTTTTTTCTTTAGTATCTTGACGAGGCATTCTTCTTTCCGGTCCATCAGCACTTGTTCTTTCCCTCACATCTTCCTGAATAGAATGTGGAGCATCTGTGCAGTTATTTCTGTGTCTGACGTCATTGCTTCAGCTGGTATATTGTTAGGTGCTCTTGCTTTCCAACTCTGATGGTCAACCCGATTTCTTCGATCTTTGATGGAGTGACATCTATAGAAATGTCTGTAGGTGTTGCTTCGATGTTCACCGGGTTCAGTGAGGCTGCCCCACTTAAGAGTTTTTCGAAGTGTTTCACCTGTCTGTTCCTATGTTCCTAAATCTCGGTAACTGTCTTGTCTTCTTTGTTTTTGACCAGTCTCTCTGGCTTACTACACATCTCTGCCAGTTTCCTCGTCGTGTCGTATAGATTTCTGTATGTCCTACTTTGGTAGCTTTTTCTATGGTCAATGCTAGGTCTTCCATGCTTTTCTGCTCGTCAGCGGAAGAAGTGGACGGACATTTCGTCCTATTGTGTGAGCATCCAGGATCCAGATCAGGACGTTCGAACTTAGGACTGACTCAGTATATACGATGATACGACAAATCAATAGTTTCTGTATTAGGTCTATTATTTTGGTAGCGGAAATAAGTTCAGTCAACACTGATCCGTACCATAATTTTACATACTCCCAGCGAGATTCTTGACAACTGGTCAGTAACTCAAAATTCGCTGAAAAACATTTTCGTTGAACAGCTATGTTGTCGTAGGTATCTTGTTTAACATGACGTCCTTGAACGATTCCCAATAACTTGTCTCTGCTAAATTATCCCGGCATTCACTAAAAGACAATGATTTTCATAACGACCTATCCTAGAGAACCCTGAAACTTTGATTGAAAAATATAAAAACTGGTGAGGAAGCTTTACTGACATATTGAATGTAGGAATTATCATATCGTGACAAAACATACATTACACTAACTTTGCCATCCACGTGTGCGAGGTAACATTAGGCAGATAACAGAATAATTTTGTTGATCTGGTATGAATATAAGCGTCAGGGGGTGGACTAAAGTATTGGCTTTCGTTTCGACCGTGTTTCCTACCGATCCAGAGTACCCTAAGCAGAAAAATATGTATGTTCTGATAATCGCTAACGTAAATGATATACTATTGACAAGAATGGAATGATGGTTAAATTCAGCATCGACCGACAAAACGTCATTTGTATCGAAGGAAGCCACGTTCATGTTGAGTCATATATGAACAATCGAGCGGCACAATCCCTAAAACGAAAATGTAATCCCTTATAAATAACGACCGTAACAAAACTTCTATGATATGCGATAACCTACCTAAATTGATTAGCTCTGAAATAACTTTGAGGGTTGCCAGAAAACTTGAACGACTGCTAAGCATAGAGAATATTGTAAGCTCGTTGGAAAAGGTAAAAAATCAGAAAACTAACTTTCTACCGTATATTTTTAGAGTCACTTTCACACGCCGAATGGAAAAAACGACTAGATGCTGTGAGCACAAGGATCGTGGAGTCGAAACTTGCGTTTGGTCACGTTTTAATATCATCGCTACCAAACTGGGGGGAACTTAGGTATAAAGATAAATAAATCCAAAAAATAAATAGTACTGTACTTTTTAGACATTAACACTGCCCTCACTGATCCTCATAAACACACTCTGGTCAAGTGGTCTTAGTCACGCATCCGCCCTAAACCACATTTGAGTGCTCCGAGTAACGCATCTTTGGTGATTACTAATCAGCTAAGGTCACAAACTGCTCAGGACGCTGTCCAAATTCCAAAACATTGGTGGTAAAATACAGGTTTTCAGAAGTGCGACTGAGAACGAAGAGTAAATTGAAGACGGTGTGTTGTTTAAATAGTAGCAATTGAACTTAGTTTAGTTTCCCCAAGATTAAAGGTCCATAGTTAAATTCAAAATGCACGAGCGTTGGCAAATTAAGACGAGCACATGAAATGAAATTCATAATATTGAAGAAGTTGCAAACGTTATTCCCGAAAAGGTTCTAAGAATCTCCACAAATTAAACTTCATAAAATTTGACAAAATATTGTTTACTTTTTTAGTTTAATTTAAAAAATAATTAATAAAAGCATTTGTATGATGAGATATAATATCTCATATTTCAACCTTCGGACACAGTTCATTTTTGTTTGAATGTTTGTTGCTATTAGTGTAGCTCCGAGGCTATTCACTTTTGAGTAACTATTCGTCATCAGGTGACTATTCTTTTACATATATTTTCAGCAAATTTCCTGCTTGCTTTTTCTCTGAAAGTTTCCTGAATGATCCAATAACCTCAAAACTTTGGCTCTTATTGTTAATTTAAAGCAACGTTAAAGAATCTATAATGAAAATGAAATCCTTAAGTTGTATGGAGATGGACTTAATGAATTGATTATGATCACTTCATTAAATGAAAACCATCGAGGTGACATGGTCATTATCTTCAAAGTAGGCATCAGAGACTTGAGTTTCGACACTGTCTCATATATGAGAAGGGAAACTCTATAACCTATCCCTCATAAAAAGCCATGTATATGAGGATAAAAAAAATAATGTTCGGAAGTCAGATTTCAGTAGTCGAACCCGAACACTAAAATGGACCCTTCTTTGATTGAGAATCACCACTACAACATGAGATGTCAGCTTTTCCCGAAAATTTGTTCAAAATATTCAGTCATCTACTGATCGATACAATTCACTGAAACTAACTTAAGTCTTATGGACTAAAAACGGCCCTACATTTGCTTTTATGTAAAAATATATGTAGGTCACTTTGAAGGTTATCATAGTCTCACGCTTTATTTCTTGAACAAGTTTTGAGTAGCCTCAGTTATTATTTCTGGATCTTTGTTATGTGTTGCAAATTCAGCATTTACGGGATAGTAAACATGAAATATAGGCAGCGAGAATCGTTGAAGCACGTGACATGTAGCTTCACATTGTGTTGAATTGCATTTAGCTCAACATTTATTGCATTTCACTAAGGTCGTATTCCACTTAACCTCATGTATATGGCATTCCAAACTGACCGTGCTCTATGTTTATGTATTGACTTCATGTTTTTTAACTATCTATGCCTTAACATGGCATTGAGAAATGCGTTTGCATGACTAGAAAAATGTCTGTATAAATAGTTTTAACCCCACCCACCTATATGCTTGCATAACTACTTATTATTTATTTGAACACAAAAACTTGTACACGGAAGAAATAATACATATGCGACACACAATAACAATCAGATTGTAGAGAGATAGAGAATGTAGGGTGAGTATAATAAAAAAGGAGTGGAACAATCAACAGAAATTATTGTGTGGAAGTGAAATAAAAATAATAGTAAGAGAAGCAGTCCAGCTAGCAAGAATACGATTAAGAATACTTTCAGTCAAAGAAGTTACGTTCACTTTCATGAACAAAATAAAATAAAGTTACAGAAGGATCGCCACTGGCTTATATTCTGAGAGATTTCTGATAACGTTTTAAGATACTGCGTTGCACTAGGACTTCGATCAGGGAGTTGTGGAGGACCAACAGAAGCCAGTCCTGTACAGCTTTCTTTCTTACCACGACGCTATGCTATGCGCTGATCACCACTCGGCTTTTCACAACCAAACCTAGTGTCGTCAAATAATGTAAGACAAGGAATTCTCTGAGACGACATTCGTAAAACATGTCTAAGCCACCGATGTCGGTGTTTCAAGATGATGACCAATGGAATTATCGTTTCTGCCCGAACACACGATGCCGAACATCTGCATTACTGACATGGTGTTGCCACTGGATGTCAGCAATCCTTTGGAGAAAACGATGATCAAACACAGAGAGTCGTCTAACATCCTCAACTCGGAGAGACCAGGTTTCACAAGCATAGAGCAGAACTGGTCTCACCGACGCGTTGTAGATCCGACCTTTTACAGCCGGACTAACATCACGAAGGCGTCAAAGATGGCCCAGATTGGCATAAGTTACTCTGGCTTTTACTATACGTGCATTAGTTTCATCACTCACGCCACCACCAGGACTTATGCAGCTACCTAGATACACGAACTTCTCGATCACTTCTATCTGATAACTACCCAAGGCGCGAGTACATGATCAGGGTCCTACCAGTCATGTAGAAGTACTTTGCACTTAGAAGGTGTGAAGCACATCCCCTATCTACGGACACTAATTGCCAACTGATTAAGTGCGGATTGCATGGCTTGGGCATTATCGCACAGTAGGACGATATCGTCCGCATACTTAAGGTCGAGGAGTCTTTCTCCAGGCAACAGATTTACACTGCCAGTACTTACATCCATCAGCGCTGTTTCCAGAATGTCATCGATGGCAAAGTTGAAGAGGAATGGTGAGATTGGGCAACCCTGTCTAACCCCACTGCTTGAATGGAACAATGGAGAAAGGTGGTTGTATGCCCTCACTCTGCCTGAGGTGTTTGTATATAGGGCCTCTAAGATGTTAATAAACTTTTCAGACACACCCTTCTTCAATAGACAGTTCCAGAGAACAGTCTTGTCCAACGAATCGAAGGCAACCCTGGTGTCAAGAAACATTACGATTGTTGGCCTGTGATAAGTATGACGGTGTTCTAACATTTGGCGGAGAGTGAAGATATGATCAATACATCCTCGACTGGAACGAAAACCAGTCTGCTCCTCGTGAGTCAATCTTTCTCGGGTTTTGAACAACCTACGAAGTATGACGTAAGCCAATAGTTTGGACGCGATCTAAAGTAGACTTATCCCATGATAGTTGTTACAGAGATAACCTGAAACTTTTTTTACAGTATGGGGCAACTATTTAAACGTTACACTGACCAAAGACAGCAGGACAGTCTGATTAATATCGCCATGGCAGCAGACTAGTTGGACTGCTCCTCAAAATACTTTATCCATCATCCATAACGTAGATATATATTAGTGATTGGCATCCTATCATCTTCACAGATTGTTTCACTCACATGAGACTCCTTGCTGCAGGTGACTCAGATGGGTTGATAGAGCTTCCGAAGGTTACCAGATGCAACTAATGCTTCCAACTAGTTAGCACGCTCCGGCTATTAGGCCTTTCTGTCCGTTGGACGATTGCATTGCGTAACAATCTTCGTTTATGGTCAAACTCGCGGTCATCTGCAGTAGGTCAACGTGCTTAAATGAGTTGTAAGGAACTTGTATAGACTCAGCGCTTATAAGCAGGACGTCTCACGAATCCGCAAGCGACCCTACTCGCCATTTTTATGGCGTCATGTAGTTGCAGCCGATGCTCATGTATACATTTCGTTGGGCTGATAGATAGCAAGCCCATGTGGCTTATTCTATCTTCCGGACAAACCAATTAATTCATTTTTCTTGAGTCACATTTTGACGTTTTAATTATTCACTTAGTAACTTTGATTGTTTTTATATGAGCGTATGTGAGTGCACTTCTTATTCTATTCATCACATGTTTGACTTATTTTTTAAACTATAAATATCTATTCGTGCATGGTTAAATTGAATTAGCTCAATCGCTTTCTCTATTGAGTTCCATTTTGTTTTGCTTCTCTTTTCAGTCAACGATTGCACGAAATATACGTCTTTAAAAATCCATTCTCGTATTTGACCTATTTAATTCTGTTATTCACCAACACGATTTAAGTTGGTGATTATATTCGAGAATTGGCGACATGTATACTTAAATTAAAATCAGGAATGATCTATCAGGAGTCAGATCATGGGCCGCCAAACTAGCTCGGTTTGATACTTAGTTACAAAAAAGCTAAAACCAACTTGTTGACATCGGTCTATTTAGGTCACTGAACTTGTGGGTTACTAAAGAGTAAGGTAAGATTAGCGCAGACAAGAACATGATCAGAGTTCAGATAAGCACTCCAAAAGGAGCGGCAGTCTTGCACAAAACCACGCCAGCGGTAGCCGACCCTGATGTGATCAATCTGAGTCTAGGTTTGAGATGCAGAGAAGGGACCCGAGAAAGTATATCATTGATGACTGTGCCGGCGGTTGGTGCTAGCTAGAAATAAGTTGTAGTCTACGCAGAGTTGCAGTAGACGATCAGTATTATCTGACCTGCCACCAATGAGTTTCCCTTAGCCACCCAAATGACAGTTAACTGGTAGTCAGACTCATCCCTGATCGCAGCTAGGCTACAATCTTTAGAAGAGTAGGCAGAGATGACGAAAATACGTCGTTTCTCATACCAATTTCTTCTTACTTTGATGAAGCTTTCTACTCTAACAGAACATAACCGACTGTTAATGTAGTTACCCCCGAATGCCTTGATACGGCTGAGAGTGGGGAAAGTTCGCTTTCCCTCTCGAAATACTCCCACATGGCCACACGTATATAGACTCTAACAGGGAATTCCTACTCACTGCCTTCTCGTGGTGGGGGTGTTGTCTACGAAATTGAGAGAACGAAAAGCGAAACTCCAGCGCTTTAATTTGGTTGGTGGACACAGAGAGTCCACCTGGGTGAGTTGGGAAATCCTGATTTCAAACCAATGGTGCAAATGGACTCCAGTATCCTGAGGGAAAAAACGGCCTACGAACCTATTGTTGGTCACTGGCTACCATGGGACTGCATTTCCTAATGTTGCTCTACTGCCTTTTGAATCAGACTTTTAGGCCAAAGGCTCCGCGTGTGGTTTCCCAAGAAGACCACTTGCAACGGTTTGTGCACCCGGGTAGTATCACAGCCCTCACAGAAATTTGATGCGATGACAAATATTTCAAAAAATACTGTGCTCTCTCCGATCAGAACTCAGACATTTCACTTTCACTTAATAACATTCATCTTTATTATTATTACTATTTTTTTATATATTACATCACTTATCACATCTTATTCTCACTTCATATATCCTCATTTTTCAACATATACGGCAGCTCGCCCATGGTGGAAACCCTGTTCTATCTAAACGATCTCGAGTCACTGCCTGACCGAAAGCTGAATGCTTCCACCGAATACGAATACTGAAGCAGTATTTCTGAAAACAAGTATATCATTCAAACTGGCTTCCTTCAACGTTTGCACACTGATGTAGATTGGGTGATAGATAGGTTTGGCTATATCTTTAGAAAGTCTTAATAGAGATATCTTTTATCTACCCGAGACCCGTATTCAAGACTCTAGTGAAGTACAACATATTCGCTCTCCATCTGTCGTTTCGAAAAGCTTGTTTTACGTGAGTTTATCCGTGGATCCTATGGCATCTTTGTCTTTTTTGCTGGCGTTGGTGTCGTACTGAGCGCTAGGGCTGAGTCAGAACTGTTCAATTGGATCCCCTTTAACAGTTGGATATGTGCTAGTAGATTAGGAAGTTCCATCAAAGTAAGAAGAAATTTGTATAAGAAACGATATCTTTTCGTCATCTCCGCCTATGCCTCGACAGATTGCAGCCTGGATGCAATCAAGGATGAATTCTACCACAGTTAACTGTTCTTCTCCAGGAAGTGCGTTCGACAGATATTGTAGTACTTGCCGGAAACTTGGATGCTCAGGTCGGGTGTCTAGGCACAGAAGAGAATCGTTTAGGTGGCCGATGGGGACTTGTTGGTCACAGGACAGATAACGGGGACCGTCTACTGCAACTGTGCCCAGACCACAACCTGTTTCTGGATAGCACTAACTTTCGGCACAGTCATCGACGATGTGCCACCTGGCGTCCTCCCTCTGCATCTCAAGCCTGGATTCAGATTGATCACATCGCGATCAGCTCCCGCTGGTGTGGTTGTATACAAGACTGCCGCTCCGTTTGGAGTACCTATCTGGACTCTGCTCATGCCTTGGTCTGCGCAAATCTTACCTTACTTTTCAGTGGACAACGAAATGACCGCCACCAAAGGATATATGTCAGCAAGTTCGTTGCAGCTTCTGTTACAAATAAGTATCAAACCGAGCTAGCTTCTAGGCTAGCTACCATTCCACCGAAAAGTATAGATGAGCATTGGTTGCAACCTCATGACACCATAAAAATGGCGAGTAAAGCAGCCTAGGGCTTCGCGAAACGTCCCAATTATAAGCACTGGGCTTCTTCAGGCTCCTTACAACCCATCGAAGCCCGTCGGTCTACTCCGGGTGGATGTGAGTTTGATCACAAACAAAGACTTTTACGTAATGAAATTGGACAAAGCTTGCGTAAAGACCGAGAAGCCTGGTGGTCGGAGCGTGGTAATGAGCTGTAGGCAGCAGCTGCATCTGGTAATTACCGGAACCATCAGACTGTCTTGTCCTCCATGGCCCGTGACAACTGATAAACCGAATGAGGCGGAAGTCCGCAAGGAAATCCAACTCTTGAAGCGCTGCAAATCCCCTGGCCCAGATAACCTACTGTGGTGCGTGCTACTTATATTGATATAAGTAGTATATGGCTCGAGTCAGGAATGTAATGTCTGGCAGCAGAAGATGGGGAAGATCAAGAAAAGAAGAGCGGGAATAGAAAGCAATTAGTATGGAAATGCAAGAACAATGAAGTTCGAGACAATTATTGAACATTTTGAAAATTAAGTATTATAGTATGGTTTTTCTACTTTAGCAAGTAACTTTGTAGTTTCGTGCTAATTATAATTCAGTTGTCCTCATCTATGTTCTCGTTCACTACACTATCTGTGGCTCTTTCTAAAGATAGTGTTGAGTTTCTGGCTAAGGAACTAACTGTATTGTTTACAAAGGTCTGGGAATTAGAGAGTGCACCAACGTCATGGAATGAGTCGACAGTTGTTATGATCTTTAAAAACGGTTCACGTCGTTCCTGTAACAACTATCATGGGATAAGTCTACTTTAGATCGCGTCCAAACTATTGGCTTACGTCATACTTCGTAGGTTGTTCAAAACCCGAGAAAGATTGACTCACGAGGAGCAGACTGGTTTTCGTTCCAGTCGAGGATGTATTGATCATATCTTCACTCTCCGCCAAATGTTAGAACACCGTCATACTTATCACAGGCCAACAATCGTAATGTTTCTTGACACCAGGGTTGCCTTCGATTCGTTGGACAAGACTGTTCTCTGGAACTGTCTATTGAAGAAGGGTGTGTCTGAAAAGTTTATTAACATCTTAGAGGCCCTATATACAAACACCTCAGGCAGAGTGAGGGCATACAACCACCTTTCTCCATTGTTCCATTCAAGCAGTGGGGTTAGACAGGGTTGCCCAATCTCACCATTCCTCTTCAACTTTGCCATCGATGACATTCTGGAAACAGCGCTGATGGATGTAAGTACTGGCAGTGTAAATCTGTTGCCTGGAGAAAGACTCCTCGACCTTAAGTATGCGGACGATATCGTCCTACTGTGCGATAATGCCCAAGCCATGCAATCCGCACTTAATCAGTTGGCAATTAGTGTCCGTAGATAGGGGATGTGCTTCACACCTTCTAAGTGCAAAGTACTTCTACATGACTGGTAGGACCCTGATCATGTACTCGCGCCTTGGGTAGTTATCAGATAGAAGTGATCGAGAAGTTCGTGTATCTAGGTAGCTGCATAAGTCCTGGTGGTGGCGTGAGTGATGAAACTAATGCACGTATAGTAAAAGCCAGAGTAACTTATGCCAATCTGGGCCATCTTTGACGCCTTCGTGATGTTAGTCCGGCTGTAAAAGGTCGGATCTACAACGCGTCGGTGAGACCAGTTCTGCTCTATGCTTGTGAAACCTGGTCTCTCCGAGTTGAGGATGTTAGACGACTCTCTGTATTTGATCATCGTTGTTTCAGTGGCATCTTCTGTACCCACTAACGCGGGTAATCTACTGGACATTCACTTTCCGTCCCCTCAATTTCGCAAACAACACCACCGAATACAAGAAGACAGTGAGTAGAACTTCCCGTACATTGGTTGTATGTGCGAGGATATGTAGGGACATTTCGACAGGGAAAGCTGACTCTCACCACCTTTGGCTACACCGGGGATTTACATAATTATCACTTCATCAACTGAACTATTTGCTACCGAAGCACATGACGTAGAGCCAGTGAAATTTTCTGATAAAAATTTATCATCGTTTGTTTCAAAAGTCATATAGAGTTCTCCTACACTTTTTTTACGACGAAATGCAATGTGATATTAGTATTTTCGTCACCATATGACATTGTAATATGCAACAATGGAAACATTGATTCTAGGTCGTTTTAGCCATTTACTACGTAATTATTCTAAAACTGTATGCAGCATTCATGACAGTCATCTTTGTTTAGAGTAGAAAATGTATGCCATTTAATTACCTACGCATTTCATGTTCAATTCCGTATCAACTGTGTTAAGTCATAAATAGGACTGCGATGGACAATAATAGTTGCTAAATTTCACGAATGTTGCATTTCTGAATAATGGCACAACTCCTGTTTTTTACTGGCTATTTTCTGCGCTTTTCAAATCTCTAAGTCCAGAAAACATTTGTTACCACTCAAATAAATAATGAAGTTTGTTTTAATTACAATCCTACTTTTTAAGTTTAGAAATAATCTGAACTAATAAAATTAACCACTGTTTAGTAAACTGTTTTTATTTTTAGTTAACCTGGATTCTATATTTGTTTAGAAATAACATATTTACATTAATGTGTATTTTGTTCTTTTGTAGGACTTATTTTACATACAACATTATTAGTTTACTTTACTTGCAGTCAAAGAACACAACAATAAATTATGTGGCATAGAGAGATTGAAATGTCACCGACAAAGTCTTAGTAGAATAAATTTCAAAACATGTGGCTGTTTGAAATTATTTCAAAAATATTCGGTCTTTTAAGGAAAGAAGTTAAAGTCTTAGTGATCGGGTTGGATAACAGTGGGAAGTCAACGATATTAAACAAGTTGCAATCAAAGGAAACGCAGAATTCATTAACGATTCCAACTATAGGATATAATGTTGAAAAGATTAGAGTCAGTCAGATGATATTCCTTTGTTTTGATATGTCAGGTAGTGGAGCCTACAGAAATTTATGGGAAAAGTTCTACAAGGAATGTGAGGCGATAATTTATGTAATAGATAGTTCCGATGAACTAAGACTTACTGTTGTAGAAGACGAATTTCAACAACTATTGAAACATCCAGATATTTGCAATAGGCGAATTCCAATCCTCCTTTTTGCTAACAAAATGGATTTATCGAATTCTATTACAGTCAAAGAAATAGTCAAGATTCTTGGTCTGGAACAATTGAGAAACAAATCATGGAGGATCTTTGCTTCGAATGCCATAAACGGTGAAGGATTAAATGATGGTTTGATGTGGTTATTTGGACAACTGAAACAAAGTAATAACTAAAATGTGATAAAGATTCTGATAGAGAAAAGATATAGGTGACCCATCAGGATATGTCATTTGCTTTTCCAATGAAATAGAAGTAAGACCCTTGGAATTTGTGTCAAAACACTTGAAATTTACGTTCAAAATATAACAAAATCCAGAACAAATCTAACGATAGGAAACCAGATGTTTATGCTTTTAATCATTAGTACTTTTATGCTATCTTACCGCATTTATTTCAAATGTTAAATTTTATAAAAATGACTAAAATGTACTGGATAAAAAGGTTTTAAAAACTTTATATGCTATGGCTGTCATTCACTTTTTTTATGAATAAAAAGTAGCCTTGTTTTCATTCAAATAATTTATGATTCTTATCTTTCGAAACCGAATGCAGCACGTTTTTACGTATAGCTATTCGCTGTATTAAATACTTTCATTAAGAATTTCACTAGACCACCATGGAAAACCTGTAAGCATTGGACGGTTGTTTCGTCCTAGTATGGGACTCTTCATTGGGACATTAAATTATGCAAATTAAATGGAGTATTTCTAATCAATTAGTTATTCATAATGATTTCAAACTGTTGTCTAAGTTTACCAATCAAGAATAAAATTAATACTAACTAAATCTAATTGAATCAATTAAGTTATGCATTTTATATCTTTCCCTCCAAATTTCATGATCAGTTAACTACTCAGTGAATATACAGTTAGTTATGTAGAAAAATAATAATAAGAATCAAGAAAGTGTTATAACTTGTTGTTTGAATGCTTATTGTCTTGGCTCTTTTAATGCTAATTTTTGTATCCGGTCGTCGCTGATTGTTATGTCGGAAACGCTTATCACTTATACTCGGAACGAGGGACCTCCGCAATTCCCACAACGTGAATGTAAGAACACAAGACTGGCATAAGTGAAGATTTATTAACCCTAAAACACGACGACGACCTTCGTCGAAAAATACACTCATTTATATATTGAGTGTACACCTATTTTAATTAATAATTAGGATAAAATCACATATATGAAAAGTACTTAGAGTTATAACAAATCACAGACTGAGTATAGTTCATGTCAATGGAATAGAAGAATATCGCATATCATACAGAATAAAGTATCACGCGAGAAAAGAAAACGAGTGATCATTACATTGAATCAAAACGGAAGTAATCTTGAACAATAACTCATAATGAGTAAGTCAATCGAAAATTGACTTTTCTTTCCATCATATCAGAAAGTTTGGAACTAGACCACTCAATATAAATGTTAAATATTGTTCATTAAACAAGTATTATGTAATTAAAAAACCGGGTGCAACAAACATTAATTAATTGGATTATCAAGATATAAATTAGATAGACTTGGTTGATTGATGTATATTCTTATGGCTTCTGTTATTTGTAAAGATAATAGAAGCATAAGTTCAACTGGATTCTACATATAACTAACTATAAGAACTAAACATATGTTGATATGCTGGTTGATATAGACTAAATGTAAGAGAACAGAGCTTTTTATTTTTTTCTTCTAGTCAATCAAACGATTAATATTCTGAAATACGATAATAGTATTTGTCTGGTTTAACGCTTTTCATTACATTTTTACCTCTTGTTTTTGAGAAATATTTAAGCAACCTATCGTTTAACGAACCTATTATTACTCAATAGAAATAACTTTATAGTTATTCAAGAAACTGTTCCCTTTTTACTTAGTGGTCTCTTACCACATCCAGTGTCTGACAAAACCTTTTACCAACATATAGTCTTCATTAAGGTTTTATAAGTTTACATTGTTCATACTGAAAGGCAAACCTCTGTTTACCAATTGAGGAGCGAGTATATTACATAGTGGTTTGTTCTAAATAACTTTATGGTTAAATATTGACACAAAAGTAAAATGTGTATATGGGTTTAAGAATTGAATTGTAGGTGTCTTTGGCAAATTGGTAGTGAATAAACAAATTGTATTAGTATTTCTAAATTAAAATGAATCATTTAGTATATGTAGCTTACTTTATCAATGAAATAAATAAAGAGCTCCGCTTAACTGTAAAGTGAAAAACGTTATTAGACAGAAGTTTCCTTTTCATTAACTTCGTCTTGTGCAGCATAAATGGTCAAATAAAAAATGTGCATGATTACAGTATTTCAGCATAGATATTTCTGAAGCACTGTTGGTTTATAATGGAACTATTGATTAGTATTAGTGCAAACTATTGGATATCTTAACCAGGTTTATCAAACATTTAAAAATCAGGCTAGAAAGAGCAAATAGTGGTGCAAACTAATGTAGCATATGACGTCATTGACTGTTGATATGAGAAGTTTGAGGAATTGAGATCTTTCGCAATTTTTGTTTCCTCCCAAATTCTAATGATTTGAGTATTCCGCATGTTATGATTTCTTTCAGTTACGATCCAGCTCCTCTTATTGCTTAGTATTCTTAGACACTCCTTTACTAGACAAGTCCTTAAATCAGAACACGGTCGAACAGGAACGTAAATATATTCCAAATAACACGGTTGGATGGAAGTAGGAATCAGAATGAGGAAAACATCAGTATATTTATAATTTTTACTTAAGAAAATTGTAGAGTCTTTACCAAGTATCCACTAGTGCTGATTGGCTAAGAAATAGCCATGCTTTAATCTAATATATATTCCGCTAACACCAAATTTGTTGGCGTTCCTGTAAACAAGGTACATTAGGTGTAACCAACATCCGCTTTAAAAATGTATTTGATAGCGTGTTGCTTCCATAAGGATTGGGAGGAAGACGTTATGAATTCGGTACTTGGGCATTTATTTGATTGGAGTCATAGAATTAACCTACATGATGATTTCAGAATAAATATGTTGTTGTAGAGTTAAACAATAAAGCGAATTATCAAGAAAATTCTCCTGGTACAGCCTTCATTTAATAAAAATTTCGCGAAAATTGAAGTGGTGCTACTTAACAGTTTAAAGTAAATAACTTTCATAGACATCATAATTAGTGGGATGAGTATCAAATATCGTGAGTTAAAATATATTCAACTGATAGCAGTCGGTGGAAGGATTATGAACTCAAAGGTAGGCAGTAGGTTTATGTTAGGTGAAGTTTATAGATAACCAGCGTGTATGACCTATAGTTCCTTTTAAGCATAGAAAAAAAGCAGTGATTACTTCACTGGTATAAAAAAAGTAGCAAATATCAACAAGCATATTGAAAAAAATGGTAATTACTTTCTCTAAAAGGTAGATTTCTAAAGGTACATTACTTAGTCCATAGAGTATTGTCCTGGTAAGTGACTCAAATAAACGGTTATGGTTTATGGAATTGCTTGAACACTTTCAATTATAGATAACCATAAGTTTTGGTAATTATAAACCGATTGATGAACAGATAAGATATAAACGTATTTTATTTAGTTAATATAGAATATGTTGTATTACTTTAGCAAATTTCATCTTGTTTCAGATTACCAACAATACGGCAGTAAATCTATGGTTAGTTAAATAAAACACTTCGTTACGATTTTTTGGAACGATAAGATAATTATACATTATATCACCTTTATTTCTGTACTCTAATTATTATTGTAAATATATTCAAGTCTAATATTTATAACTCATAGAGGTAACCGTTAAATCGAATAACTAGATTGAGTGTATAACGAAATAGTTAGCATTGAAGCTGAAATTTATATTATAGAGACACGTAAAGAACAGCAGCTCTAGAGGTCAGTAATAAAAATCATACAGTAATGAATATTTGAAAGAAATAATGACATTGAGAATAACCACAGTAACAACTACAATGATGGTGACGATATTTCAGAATAAATGTTCTCTTGAAATTTGCTGGAGAAATGTATGTATATACTGCGGTCCTATTGTTCCCAACATTTATGTTATAAATTCAAGTGACCAAAAAAACACACAACAAAATTCAAAGCAATAAAAGTAATTACAACCTAAAGTAGCACACTTCAAAAATTTGAAACTACCCAATCAAACACAATGTTCATAATTCAATAAACAAGTAAGCGGATGAAGAAAAAAAAAGACACAATGTTAAGTTATTTAGTAATATTGAATATACACATGTGTTTAAAGCTTGTGCGTGTTAACGATTCTTTGTGAATAGTTTTGCCCTAGTTATTCTAAAAGCGAACATTTTGAATCTATGTGTAAAATAGTTCAAATAGTTTTCCGTTATAAAAAACAACAGTATAAATTTACTGAATTATGTTAATGAGTTGAATAATATAAATATTGAGTAATTAGACAGTTAGTAACTAGAAGATATTACATTTGATGATTCGGCGAAGAAAAATGGAAGAAATCTGAATTATGAACTTATCAAAAGAAAAAAGAAATCAACAAAGAGTTGAAAAATAAACATGTGGTTTGTTCATGGTTCGTAGAAAAAGAAAAGCACTGGTATAACGAAACAATTATTAAATGCTAGTTAAATTGTAATTTTATAACCAGGAGTATTCGTGTTAAACATCGGTAACATTTTTTGTTGTTGTTGTTGACTTATTCATCATAGTACTAATACGAAAGACACTATATGTGGACTAATGTAAATAAATGTAGGACAAGTTGACATTTATATTGAAATGTTAAATAGATATAAATACAAAGAAAATGAAATTTAGCTAAAATAGACAATAAAGCTCCAAAAGAAAAAAAGAAAATGTAAAAGTGAATGGGGTAGAGAATTGTAAAAACAATATGATAATCATGAATATCTGTTAGAAAAAAAAGAAGTAGTAATAAAGAGATGTATAAATAAATCACTAAGTAAATAGACTGTATAACTGACACATAGTTATGAGTTGTTTGATTTATATTTAATGTGAAAATGCAATACGACTGATTGGGAATCGTAACAACACCGGAGTTGTACCACGTACTGGTAGTAAAGTTCGTGAATAACGATAAATCATAGATGAAACACTTGGATATGGTTGACTATATTCGCCTAAAACATAACCTCCAGTTTCAGGATCTTGTGAAATTTTCATATGAAGTACATCACTTTCTCGTCTGTAAAAAGAAACCGGGTAAAATACACTAGAAAAGTCAGTTTTTGGAAAGAGAATAGTTTGTTAGTTGGTGCGAAGAATTTAGTAAACAAATTAATTGCACTTTAAAAGAAATCCATGTAACTTTTACAGCATGTTATACCCATAAGTAGTCACTAAAAAGTTAAAGAGTGGTCAGGGAGGTCATTGTTTCTCCTTTAGCATTATTTTTCACTCATTGTACACTGATGTTCATTTATCTATTTTTGGCAGTTAATCGTACTGAATAAACCAAGGTAAATCCCTTGAGGTCAAACAAAAAAGTGATCATAATCTTGGTTTCAAATTATAAATACGATTTCATGTAGACCACTATCCGTTTCTGATCATGTATCTCAGTGAACACGTAGATCAAAATTACGACAGACTTTATTATTACTAAAATAGTGGTGATTTGTAGCTCGAGAGTATGATTTTGTCGAAATGTCTTCCTCTGATCTTAATGTTTTGACCACGTAACCTTCGCTATCTCTTCAAACAAAATAATTCTTGAAAAATTCAGACGGAAGCGAGTCATAAAAATAAATCACAAAATAATCAAACGAAAAAAACTTACTTTATTGATAGTGATAGTTCTGTTTTACTTGTCTCACTTCTTCTTACAAGAAAACTACCTGTTGGTGTAGATTTCAATAATTTTTCTGCATGTGAACGTGAAAGATCACAGTGAAACCATCTAGTAAAGAAAAGAAGAAAAAAACAACCCATAATATATTCAGCACATTAATTTGAATCAAACTCTTAGAATAACATCATACTACTTAAAAGTAGCTTACATTTTCTTAAAATAATAACAATTAGACGAAACAAATTCTCTTTGTGATGATGTCATTTATTGTTGCTGTACAACTATATGGTTGGTTGGTTGTTTGCATCTTTAGTACATCTAAGTCTATAGTAAGAGAATCAAATATTATGTCATTTGAAAATTGATTAGATATATTTCTAAATATCAAAGAAATTGTATGGTCGACTGAAGGTTAATGTGAAAAAAATATGATAAAAAGTAGATAATGGATGAAAGATAATTATTCACTTAGAAAATATTAAAGGAAAAGATTAATCGGATAAAAGATATTAACAGTGGCTTATAGTTTATGAACATAAAGATCGTGTATTGAAATGCCAACGTTTCTATCGTATAGATTGAAATATTTGATCTGTATAACTTTTAAGCTAGGTTATTTAAAATTGAAGATGACTTTCAAAGTTGTTAATCAAGGGCCTATATTACTAGGTTTGGCTAAGTGATCAATCAACAATAGAACTATTGATCATTTTGTACTAATCTTTTGACAACCGTGCCTGGTAATGCTTGGACAGGATGTTCTGATTCCTTAAAAAAGAACATTTTTTTGCAGCAACCCTGCGAATAGTGTTCTCCAGCCGATAAATTATCGTATATGACCAACTCAATGTGCATTTACCTGCTCATGTCGAGCTTGGTATATAGGTCGCTCTATGAGTACTTTATCCAGAAGAATTCGAGAACATTGTCCGGCGTGGCTAAAATGAAGAGGCAACGGCTCAATAAGTTCAATAATCGAACACCTTGTGAAAACAGGTTACTCAATCAAGACAGACTTTGTATTCAAAGTCATCTACAAGGTAAGTAGAAGTCTTCCAAAGACAATTAGACTGCATCTTCTTTGCCGAAGCATTAGCCATACATCTGGAAACACCAGAATTGTGTGTGCATAAGAGACTGGTACAACCTCTTCTTCTACCATGGTCTTAATATTTTATAAATGTTTTTCTCTTTCTCATACTCTTCTTCCTTTACAGCCATCTGCTTCACTTTCCATCTTCCCTTTACATCCTCCACCCCCAACTAGTTTATTTTGTTTCTACGATCATTCTGATTACTTCTAATCTCAATTTCAACATTTTATCTTATCATGCTGAACCAGCCTTTCCCATTGATAATTTCTCCTATCTATTTTTGATGAATACTTAAGCCATTAACAATCAAACGATTAGTAAACTTTCCTTGCTTTATGAAACAAATTTTTTTTAATACTTTTGTTTATTTAACCTCACTGTCACTATGTCTAACAGAAGTTTATTATCATCCTGTAAAAATAAGTATATACATTTGCGATTGTACAGTTTTGAAAATGAATTCGCCAAAAAGAGAACTCTTCGCTGAACTGACCTTTCTTATTTAATGTCTTAATGTGTGTATTCCGTTTACTAATAAATTAAATATTTTTATGTTTACCGGTTAGTTGGATCCTATCCTCAATCAAAACTCAAACGATGAGTTAAATGCTGTGACATTCACCATGTGTATGTAGACACTTGAGTTGTGCTTAAGTAATTGTAGGAAGAAGAGGACCCTAAAAGTCTATTACTTACAGATAATAAACATACACTTTCATCTAACATAAAACAAATTAAGTATTAACTACATATAAATGGTCGGAAACGTGCCTTCATTATAACATATAAAATGTGTTTGGTGAGTAGTTATATTTACTGTGTTCTTAACCATGGAACGATTGAGACCTTTCTTCAAGTAATCAAAAATATTTCTCAATTATTATGATCATATCAGTGCTGGTGTGAATAGTGATGTTCTTTCTTTAATAATCTTGTTATTCCTGTACTCCTTTTGATCTATTTTCTTAATGTTTACTTTACCTATCAATAATTTAACTAATCAGTGTGTGAAAAAATGTGAAAAGGATTTTTTCAGTAAGAAGAAGCCCATCACTTTGATAAACTTATTCGTGTTACACTTACTGTTATTCCTATATATTTATGACATTGTTATACCTACGCGTGTGATATGTCTATTAATGTCCTTTGGCCACCAAGTGTTTTTATGTCAAAACTTGTCTATAAATGAAACATTTTTCAGTACTAAGTAACAAAGCATTCATTTTGTAAGTAGTAAGTTGTTCACATCATGAAAAAAATGACTCATTGTAGCGAAATATTTGATCTAACCGCCTTATTATTTAGTTAAATAAAACAAAAAGGAAGCCAGAACGAAGTTTGATTCAATGAACCATTAGTTGGTTTTATCATTCTCTGTGACACGAGAATGTGAACCTTAACAGACAAAGAAACAAACACATCTATTAGCATGTATTATCGTTTTTTTATTGTGATTAGCATTACGGTTCATTTATGGGGTTATAACTGCTAACTTGAGAGTTGGCCTACATGAAGAAGAATATTTGAAAAATTCACAATAGGCAAATGTATAGAGAAAATGATGGACAGTTGACAATTTGAATAATGCCAGAATTTATTATTATTATGATTTGAATAAAACAAATAAATAAATGAAATTATCTTTCCTTTCCATCCGTGTGGTATCTAGGACTTAGCAGAAAATAAGAATTGGAGATAGATAAATATGTGCTTAACTATTTAATAAAAAAGTGAACTGTATAACCTTCGCAAAATATTTTTTTGAATATTTAACCGGTACTACAATACAGAAACATTTATGTGTTATATAATAATCGAATGGTGAAAAAGTGGTAAGGTGAAGATAATCGTATCACTTTTTCACCATTCGATTATTACATAACTTCCTCTCAATATTTGATTTTCAAAGCTTGACAACATGCTTCGTTTGTTTTAGGGAAATATTTCTGAATAATGATGGTTATTTTAAGTTAGGAATAACGATCATAATTGTAAGTGAAACAAACAATCGAATTTACTAGTGATTATAAAGCTATATGTAACACGTTAGATTTTGTGCCTAATTGAATGTACTTAAGCAGGAGTAAGAGGTAATCAACTCTATTGGTATCTGGGCTATAACTCCTTATTTCAGTCAATGATTACAGCAAATGATTAAGCATACACATATGTCCTGTAAGTATTTAATGTTTCGGTTTAAAACACTAAGATACATAGTCCAATTTTCTCAGTTACTGAAGTGGATTAATCAGTTAAGTTCGAAAATGGTTCTTATTGCACTATATAAATCCAATACTCATCCGAAGCTTAGGTGTCAGAGATCATCTACAAATATGATCTAGAACTGAGTTTTTCATAAAACGATAAATCTTAACTACATAAACTATGATGAACAAAACACTCAAATTAGCCAAGTCAGTATTTGCGTATTGTGTTTCATTAGGTAAATGAGTCACTGACCTAGTAATGAGAACTAGGCTTGATCAATATTGCTTATGCCTCAACATTTGTATCGATAATCTGTCAAGCAGGTGGAATAGTGTTTCTTGTCTCAGGAGCCATTAAGTTTACGAGCCTCTGTCTTGATTATCTGATTTTAACCATGTCGCTTTACATACCAGTTTACTATAGCAAGACGAAATACATAACCACGGCTATATTATATTAGAGGGCAAAAACGTCAGGTTATATAGAAATTACCACTATTAGGCAAACAGGTCCGAGTACTATAAATACGAATAGTTTAATAAAAAAGGTACATTCTTTGTAATGTAATTGTGTGAATATTGTCTTCAATGTATTACATCCCAAGTTAGAACAAAAGCTATATTTTAATCAATTACTTTTCTCTTTAAATTAACCCCGATGAATTGAACAATAATAATGAACATCATGTTGAACAGTCGATATGTAGCTAGGATAAAATGATTTGTTGTAACTTTTGGTGAAAAGATGGTCTAACAGAGTGATTACTACTGGAGTAGTATTATAAAAACTGAAAACAATTACAATCAGGTACAAATGCCATTTGATTATACTATATATCATAGTGACTAAATCGGTTGTTAACAGATACTGAAATAAATAAAGTGATAGGATTACGAATTCTACTCAAGGAATCATTCTCTAGATCTCAATTGAATGGATGTCAGGGAACAGAAGAGTTAGTTAACTGACTGACTGACTGACTATAAGTAACATACATATTTGAAACTGTAGATGAATGTTTATATGTAAAATATTCATTCAATGTAGTATGCCAATGATATACATATCTGTTTCCCAATGAACGATGATTAAGGAAACTAAAAAATCACGGTGCTATTATAACTACATTCACATCAGTCCGGCACAACACTAAGGATATGTTGATATTGATGTGGTTGGAAAATATAGTTATCTATTCACTTGGTGTTGTTTGCTTGAATCTTCCCATTGTTGCTTAGGACTGCGCAATTGATCAGTCCCATGTTGGCATATGTGCATTCTGTACGGATTGACTTGATATTGCAGGTACATCCAGCCAACGAGTCCCAAATAGGACAAAATGCACGTCCTGGATCCCACTGCTAGCCATCATTCATCTTTGCTTGTAATCATCTATTTTTTTGAAACTATCAAGTGTCCTGATCATATCCAACTGAACATCAAGTCATATCAATAAAGTAAATCTAGTTTTTGAAAAAAAGGTATTATTTTGCCTGATTTATCTATTAGTAGGAGTAGTTCATACGTCTGATCAAAACTATCCTTCGTTAATTCACAAGAAGTATTACTAAATACTTGAACTATCTAGTTATCCTAAAATTTAAAAATCTTAGGTACTTTGGAATTTTGAACATCATGGATTTTTTCTATTTAATTTTTTTAAAACTTTATGTCAATAAATAAAAGTTGCTAATAAAATTATCTTACAGTTGATTTTCAAGTTGTTCAGATATCGCTGTTGTACTACTACTATGATGACGTGGAAAATCTGATTTTCGATGTCTGTAATATTCAGCTGGAATGTGTAGATTCTCATTGTATCTTTTACTTCCCTGGTAATCTATTATGTCGGGGAAATTTTCTGAACTAACAGCAACATTTGGTCGTCTTCTATGCCATTGAACAAGAACTGGAGGCCAAATGGAATTACTATCTGGATTGGTTGGTACTGTTTGACTTAAATTACGATGATAATATTTTGAAGGTATTAAACATCTTGTGTGATCTGAGGACGTGTTTAACTGATTACCTTCTAATAAAGTAGTTTGTGGATCGGCAGTACGTTGACTGTGTGAACGAATCATATTTGAATGATGTTTTTTGTGTTTAGAGCTGGTTGAATCATTTGATTTAACATCTGGTGGGCCCCATCCTGAATCTAGAGGGAAGAATACAGATTGCGTCATACTACTGTTGTAACTTGGTGCAAATAAATCTGTCATACAGGAATTCTCAGAATTATATGAACGATTTCTTTGAGGATAATACTGTACATGTGTAGAATCGCCTGACATGCGAGTCGATCTCATATCTGTGACAAAATTAGGGTTATTATGAACAAGGTTATCAGATTTATGTCTGTAATGCATAAAGTATTCTGATTGTTGTTCAGGAAATCCAGCTGGTAAACTAGATTGTGTCATTAAAAGTACATTACTATTCTTACTGGTAGGTGGAATTCTAGAGGCGAAATGTTCTTTATGTGTTCTTGTTGGAGATAAATGCATAATACTTGATTGCATATTCGTAAATGTGGGTTCTGCACTGATTTGGCGCTGAGCGAAATCACGACAAGATCGACGAATTCCATTTCGTGTGTTATCTGAACAAAAAATAGATCAAGTGATGTAATATATAATAACGTAATTATGAATTTATGTCATAAGAATTTTAATAAAGTAACGGGGGTTAAAAACGCAAAACTTTATATGAAATTGACATTATGTTTGTCACCTTTTGTAAAATTTTGCATCAAGCAGCTAATTCAAATGAGTAAATCTTCAATATCTAGTTGTTCTTAACAGCTTCGATACTAATAAACACTTGATTTCCTTATTTTATATTATCGAATAGTTAAAGAGTAGTAATGGATAATAATTGATAATGATATATTGAGATTATAATGATTTGAATACAAAATAAATTTACTTATGAGTTGGTGAGATATGAACTTCTCATCTTTCAGATCTTATAATGATTTATAGACCATCAAATGGTTTCTTCTATAAATATCAAATTTGAAAATGAGGAAAATAGTTAAATTTCAATGATTTGAGACACCGTAGCTGGTTAAAACACATTGTTTTTAATTCTAATGATTGTCTATAAATGTGCTCAATTTTCATTTCTATGTGAAGTTAGTTATAAGAACTATTAGAAACTAGAACTCATTGAACAGTATGGATTTTTATAATTCTTTCTTTGAATCATAAAGTTTACTATTCTTTCATAATTTATATTTAATCTTATTGAGTCAATATCGACATTACTATTCATTAGACTATCATGGTACTGTTCATTCTATTGTTTTTATGTAGGAATTTGGCAGAATTAACATTCATGTTAAGCAATAAGTTGATTATAACTGAATGAATAAACAATAAGTTAAAAACACTTAGTTCAGTGAAAGGATCTCTTTTCAAGTAATTTATTATCAAATTGTACAATTGTATATATGTGAAAATATTTTTTTTAAAAGTACCAGTTGTTCCGTGAGGGAATCGGAACAAGGAATAACCCTTTATTATTATTATTGCATTTCTCCCCTTATTTATGTCTCATATTCACATTATTTTATTCATATTTACTTATGATATCACTTATTATTATTTTTTACCCCTCTATGACCTTTAATGACCTTTAATTATTGTAACAAAAACATTTTAATCATCTTACTACATTCACGTTATAATTCGTTATTGTTATTATCCGTACTATGTAATCCAGTATTACAATCTTTCTAGTACATCATCTCTGTTCACATTTCCTCACGGAACTAATACTTTAACAGAAATATATATATACGACTGTACAGCTTGATAATAAATTTCTTGAAAAGAGATCCTTTCGCTGAACATTGTGTTTTTAATGTTTAGAATGGGAATTGTCTATCAAACAAGGAATCAATCTAGAACAAAATTTAATTAAATTTCGTATTACAACCATGTATCCATTGAATTATACAGATCATATTTCTGCAACTCTTAAAATTCACTTATATAAATACAATGATTTTCGAAGGATTTACTTACCCTATTTAATTTCATTAAGAAGAAAAAGAAAAAAAAAGAATAAATCTACTCAAATCTTGATATTACTCTTATTACATTTTGTAAAGTTTTTTTTTCTCTTTTTTTTGCACCAGCTGTTTAAATGTTTGTATAGAAATAAACATAATGACCTGAAGTCTTAGAGATTACATGTGTTCAAATATTTACTTATTATATATAATTGTTTCAATATTCTAATGTATATATGTACTACCACGTTGAATGACCACAAAGAAACAAAATTACATTTCATTAGTTAATTAATTATGCTCAATTGAAAGAGATATATTTTAAAATTGATGAACATTCTTATTTCAATTAATAGATTGTATTGCTTTATTGTTGTTTTTAAAATATAAAATGAATTATCAGAATGGGTTTTGTGGAGATTTTAGAAATTTCACACATTGAAATCTCCACAAAACCCATTCTGATAATAATCAACTGCTCACTAGTGACTGACTTCAGGAAAAACTTCCGAAGTTCTAGTGAGAAGCCATTACCAGTGGAGTTCAACCAGGTCTGTTGTGAGATAGGAACTCACTGAAGACAATGGTGTACGGTGGCGCAACTTCGTGGATTGGTTGAAGTTAGACATTAACACCGTTGGATGCCGGCTCAGTGGTCTAGTGGTTAAGTGCTCGCGCGTGAAGCCAGTAGGTCCTGGGTTCGAGCCCCGCGTGGTGCGGGATCGTGGGTGCGCACTCCTGAGGAGTCCCATACTAGGACGAAATGGCCGTCCAGTGCTTCCAGGTTTTCAATGGTGGTCTAGCTTCAACTGACTCATGATTTCAATAAAATGAATTATTAGAGAGAAGAAAAGAACTTGTACATTTTTACTAGTGTTATTTATTATTGCCATCATCATCATCCTCATCCATATGTTGTTATGTTTCAATACTACTGAATTATTTCAATAAGTATGCTTACCTTGCATGGATAAAAATTTCAATGGAAAATTCAAGTTTATATATATATATATATATATATATATATATATATATATTTATATTCATTTAGGATTATATCAATTATTTTAGAAACATGAATATTTTCTTTAGTACAAGAAAAAAAAGAAGTAAAAGTAACATTTCTGTCTTATTATGTAACATAAGGAGGTATTTACAGTTTAAATGTATCTATGTATATACATATGTACAGGTTAAGTTAAGATATCTAATTTACCTACTTTTGTATCAAAATTTATCAGAATACTTTCTTTATTAAAGCAAGAAGAATTTAAAATGTTGATTATGATCATATTTGATAGAAGTATGTTATAGGGTGTTAAATTTAACGTATACATGAGATGTCAAATTAATACAATGAATTAGTAATAGAAAATTATGGTCATTTGATCTTTTCAGTAAACTACATTAATTATATGATATAAAGATAAATCTGTATGAGTCAATCGGCTACAACGTAGGACCAGGCATATATATACATAGGTCCAAGTTGCCATACCGCATTAGCACCGCAAGATGAACGCCGGATTCATAGAAGTAGTTAATCCAATGGTGGTAATATATAAAAGAAAGATTGCATATAAGGATATAGTACAGGAAGAAAGTTGTTGCTACCTTGATGTGGTCGTCAGGCTTGCCTATCGTGATGAAGTGACCGAGCTATACTGGTTGGAACAACCGTTCCTCAAGGTCCTACCATGCCAGACAGGTCGGTTGAAGAGCAGTAAGACTAAAAGCAACAAACACAAGGTTCGAAGGCGAAGTCGTAATGCTGACTGTACAGAGGTGTGACAGGAGTAAGGTGTTTCATTCAGATGACCAGCATGACAGCGATGCTGCCTTCCCACAAGGAGAGATGGGGTTAGAAAAGGTCAACCCTAAAAATGCACACCTCGCCTTATCCCACGGATATCCGTACCCGGCGGTAAGGTATCAACAAGTACTGATCTAACACGAAAATTACTCATAAAAAGATCGTCTGTGACTGACCCGAAGCAGTTGTCCCTTGGGTATTTGCGGTCACGCTCTCAGGTTACCAAGACAACATCTAATCCAATTTCCTTTTCAGGGCCCCCCAGAAGAACCCTTCGACGGTGTGGGCAACCGGGAAGTGATAACCGCCCTCATACCTCTTACGGCACTCAAGACCACTGTATTCATAATCAACCTCCCTCTTCAACTCCTAAATTTGCATGATGATGATGATGATGTAAGAATCAATTTTATGAGCATATGATGTGATATAACAGTTAACAAAAGTTTGATAACAAGTTATAGTCTATCAAAACCGCTTAATCTAAACAAAAGAATCCATAATTTTTTGGGGGGAGAGGAGGGAGGAAGATATATAATTATATGAATCTGAAATGCGATTTACCTCAGAATGGTTTAAATGGAATGACACAAAAAAACTGATATACAGTTAAGCTTCATCTAATGTTTACAATCATAAAACGGTTTCCTGTGTATGTTAAATTCATTTATTTCAATTACAGTTGGTTTTCAACATGTGTATAAAATGACATTCTAGTTTGTATCTACGAGAGTGAGAGAAAAGAGGTTAGGCATTCAGTCTTTAAATATTCAGTTAATTTCGACAACTCATCTAATCCACATATTGACTTGAAGTTGATTCATAAAATTTTTGGTTCTAAGTAAACCAAGCTTTCTTTGTTTTCAACTTGTTGAAATATAAACTTTGGTCATTCATTTTGTGAATCTTAAATTCTATATACGAAAGAATAATCTTTTATGTTCTGACTTTAGATTTTCTTTGTTATCATTGTTGTCTATCATATTTTCCGTTCATACACTTGAGCATCTGAAAATGTCTCTTCTTTCTAAATTATACTTCAGATCCTTTGTTTTTCGTGCTTATTTATTCTCCATATCATTTCACTTAAGTACCGTAATGTCCTGCCATTTAAATAATCAAAACGAAATAATTATTTTAACTGGCCTATTCCATTCATATTATAATCCATTTTTAGTTCAGTAGTTCCCGGCCCTTTTTTATATATTCACATCCTGTAGAAGTTAAGTAAACCTGTATAGTTATCATCGGCACTAAATGGTTTATTATTTTAATCTTTACTTTTACGTAGTGGGGTGTTTAAGAGACGATGTTAACAAAGTTGGTTGCCGGCTCAGTGGTCTAGAGATTAAATGTTCGTGCGAGACCGAGGACCTTGGGTTTGAATCTTGCGTGTGTTATCGTGGATACACACTGCCGGGGAGTCCCATACTGGAACGAAACAGTCGTCCAGTGCATCCAGGTTTTCAATTGTGGTGTAACAATGGTCGGTCCATGATTTCAATGAAATTTAACAATCTCGACAAACTCAAACTGAAGATAATTGGATTATACCTAATAGAGGTATTTGAGCAAAATATATGCATAGATTAAAACAATATAAAAGTAAATTTACTTGAATTGATCAATTCCATCCTTTGTTGAGCTTTCAACCAAGCTACATCAAATGGTTGATTTGATTGTATTTCTGGATGACTATTTATTAATAATTCTCGGTTATGATGATTTAAAAGTGTAGGATCTTTTACTGAATAAATAAATGGTACAAATTCATCTTGTCCTTCATTCTCTAATAAGACAGATTGATTTAGATTATGATTATTTGTAATATTATAATGCCTTCGAATAGTACGTTCATTTTTCAAATCATCAGGTGAAATAAGGCGTTTAATCGATGGCTGATCAGGGTGTGTAGATTTTATCAATATGAAATCTGATAAAAAATTCGGTCTAGTTACAGTGACATTTGATTTTTGATCATTTTGTAATCTGTTTGATTCATGAAATTTTACTGATTGTTTTTTAATTAAAACTGGATTTGTTGAGTCAAGATTAATTGAATCTAGTTTTTCTAAAGGATAAGAAGAAATATGTTGGTTTGAAAATGCCCAGTTGACATTTCGTTTGTCAGGGAATGAAGTAGAAGAAGTTACTGTTGAAGCGTGAGAAAGAATGCATGTTGATTTAATCATTTCTGTTTCATTTGTTTGAAGTGTTTTCTGTGATGAAGTGGTTGAAAGTAAGACAGTAGTGTCTTTCTGATTCGAATCCCATGGAACAACAGATCTTCCATCAAGAGGATATTTTGCTGAATCTTTGTTTCTTTCATCTAGATCACTGGTTGAAACTGGTTGTGCCTTAGATTCTGTCATCTCGGAGGAATTATTTGCTAATATTTTCATTACGGAAGAATCTGATAATTTATCTGACTGACAAATTGAACTCTGTTTATTTGGAATGTTAGCTGTGACGGGATTTTTACATGATGTTCTCAAAGAGGTTTGCACTGATAATGTGTTATCTGTGTCATGAAAGTTTTGATGAGATTTGCTCTCCGATTTCTCCAAAACATTATTGTTCTTCACCTTTTCAGATACAGTCTACAAAATTAAAAAGTAATTAACAGAGCTGAATAAATTTAAAATAATAAGTCAGTCAGTCAGTAGCAACGTAGAACTTCGTACGTACGTACATCAGTTCGAGTTGCCACACCACATTAGCACAGAGATTCAGTGGTCGATTCGAATCTCGTAGTGGTAGAGGTAATAAGAGTATAAGAAGTAATCGGGAAGATTAGGGTTTGGAGATGTTATTTAAAGAGTATAATACAGTGAAATAAATTTGGAAAGAGGAAAAAAGGGACATGAAGAATTCAGAAGATTAGAATTTGGGAGAACACAGAGAGTGGATGCACCTGCGCCATTGCAAACGATTTTGAGCCATGTCATTCAGGGTCTCTAACCATCGGTTGCTATCATCTCGCGGTCCCCAACCAGGTAGTCTACACCTACCGACATGATTCAGACTACTTGTCAGTGACTTCATGGACTTGTGCCATGTTTTGGTCTGGCGGCTCCTAGCTTTCTTCCAACCTACTCCTATACCACTGAACATCGCATGTCGGGGCAGTTGGTGGTTGAGCATACGTAACACGTGTCCCAGCCATCTCAACTGATGAGGTTTCAGTACTTCATCGATTGATTTGCCATCCTTACCTAGTACTCGTCTCCTAATAACTGAGTTACTTACTCAGTGGTCCCAGGATACACGAGCAATGTTTCGAAGACACCTATGATAATAAATAGGCAGGTTAATCAGTATACATATGTTTTTGAAAATCAGTTATATTTTAATACTTGGAAAGATTCCGTCAATCGGCGTTGGAAATTTTTTTATTGATTTGATTTACTTAGAGGAAAGATCACGGTAGTTGAATATTGACGACTTTAAAATTTGGATTTGTTTTGTAAAAATTGACATTTGAAATGATTTTCTTTGTCAAAATTAGAGTTATTTTTCGATAGACGGATGACCAGATATCACTATTATAAAAGAGGCTTAACAGTGAAAACTATTGAATGTTAAGTGAATTATTGTTCCGGTTTTTTTTTAACATTTGTGTTAAGTTTTCAAAAGATGTTTAAAGTGTTCTTTGCATAATAATAACATAGAGGAATGTATTTGTAAAATGTCAGCGAATGAATTTCAAGTAAATTCAATGTTTCGCCTGGCAATCTAGTCCAAGCTTTTTCAAGGAAATATAATCAAACATCAAAATTATCGAATATTAATAGGTACATGGTTCTCCGGTTCACTGTATACTGAATAGGTCATCTAATCGACGTTAACAATGTTTATTGTAGGTATCTGCATTAGTCTAAATTGTTTAAATTGATCTTGCATTATGAGCATAGTGTTAAAATCTCATCATGTAAGTCTGATGCTTTCTATCTTAATGATACTTTAGGTGAACATTCTTAGTTAATTTTTTACATAACTAACTAATCATATTACCTTCTAATGAGCAACAATTTGGTTTATAGGATAGATTATCCTTAATAAATCAACTATTGCTCTAATTGTTTTCAGTTTTAATAATAAATTAAATACATTGGATTGTTTGTTCTTTTTTCTCCTTGATTCCCTTAGTCTATTTTGATTCTCTTGTATGTGTGTTTGTATTTGTATAGGATTAACCATTCACAATGACATGAATTACTGTCATGGAAAATAAACTAATTGATGATAGATTGTTAGTTGTTGACACGTACTAGAATTTGGTAAAGTAATTACAACGATGAGAGATTTATATTAATTAGTGGGATATTGATTTGTTGTTACTATTATTTTTATTCGTCTATTATGTATGGGTGTCTATGAATGAATGAATGAATGAATGAGTGAGTGAGTGAGTGAGTGAGTGAATGAATTAATGTATATGATTGATTGTCTCCTATCAACTTGATTTCAATGTTCAATGCTTCTGATTCCTCTCGTTCTTGGGAGGTAATTTATCAATAAAAAAATGAATCATCGCCTATTTGCTAACTATACACATGCTAATGAGTTGATTGATTAAATAGTACACTAGTTTAATTACTGAATATGAGAAAAACTAGTAATTTAACGATGAAATTTGATATTCAGGTTAATTAATGGAAGACTAGCCTATATCCATTGCGACGATGGTTATTTTTAACAAATTAATTTGTTCAGTTCTATGAAATAAGGAGTATAGTTATTAAAACACAATGAAGAGGTTTTTCATTTATCTGATAAACTGTGAGAAAGAATAACGTTCCAAGAATACATTTTAATTATGAGGAAGACTATTATAACCATCTGTAATCCTTCATTATTTTTCTAGATATCATTAATCATTTGAAACTATCCGTTTAAGCCAAATTGTGGAAAAAAAACAACAACTGTAGAGTGTATCGTTAATCATAATTTTTAGCCATTTGACATATTTATCCATCCATCATTATTTCAGTTTCGTTAACTATAGAAAGAAATAATGATTGCAGAAAATAATAAAAAGAATTTATCTACAGATACTGGCTCTGAAGTTTATTGGGTTAACTCCTCTACAGGTAACCCTCAGTACGGTCACTAGTACTATCAATTGTTTGACTCCATAATATGTAACTAGATGTGGGAACATTGGAGCAACTTAAATACATAATAATAGGATGATTGCTAAAAAAAACAAGTTAGTTAGTGTACTTTATTTTCGGAAATAATAATTCCAAAACAGTAAAAACTCACAGTTCTTGTTTTTACGATTAATTTTTCTTTGAACCTAAAGATTATTTTGAAGTGATTAAGAGGCAATAGTTGAACTGGTCGTATTCATACTTCAAGATGTTCAACTGTCAATAATTGGTTAGTTATTTAGACTCTAAGTAATTCTAGTCAATCATATTTAATCACTACTGACTAGGAAATTGAAACTGTTTACCTAGAATCAGGTTAAATGTGTTATAACTGAAACTTCCAATGTAGAGATTAGAATTTAAACCAACGCTACAATAGCTCATGGCTGTACGTTACTTCAATATATCACAATGAAGCAAATGCCTTTTATTGAGTTTAAAAATGAAGCTGAGTGTGAAATGGGACATAAAGAACATGACCCAAAAGATATGAGTGACTTGACCATTTTAATTTTGTGTTTCTTACAAAGTATGTATTTCTATTTAGTGTTAGAGAAGTACCGATTTATAACAGAACATGTCATGAAACAAATAGTAATTTTTAACTAAATCTGATTTTAAAAAAACGCGATAGCTTTCAGATTATTCATACACTAAACGTTTACTACTTGTATTTCAGTGTTATCAACGTGTGGTGCGTGCTACTTATATTGATATAACTAGTATATGACACGAGTCAGGAATGTAATGTCTTGCAGAAGAAGATGGGGAAAATCAAGAAAGGAAGAGCGGGAATAAAAAGCAATTAGTATGGAAATGCAAAAACAATGAAGTTCGAGACAATTATTGAACATTTTGCAAATTAAGTATTATAGTATGGTTTATCTATTTTAACAAGTAACTCTGTTATTTTGTGCTAAATATAATTTGGTTGTCTTCACCTGTGTTATACTTCACTACAAAAGTAGTAGAGTTGCGCTTATCATCAAAATAATCAAATTTATTATCACCAAACTAACAATTCAACAGCTTGTAAATTGGTCTTAATTATTTAAGCCGAGTTGGATAGTGGATAGCAATGGGATTCAGAACGTTTTTTTGTCCTGATTTTAACTTATCAGAAGGATATACTTACATTTTGGTGTTGATGTTCATTCATGAATCCAAACTTTCTCTTTAAGCACCATTGAATTATCTACTTATTTACTGAGTCTAGAAAGTTAGTGTCATGTGTAATGGAGAAGGATTATTCATTTGTAAAGGCTTAAACATTTTTTCAGAGAATAGCAGTATTGAAATTCAGGTACTTCTAAGCAACGAGTCTCAAATGGGACGAAAACCGTATTTTGAATTTTATTGACAGCTATAAATGTTTGTGAATGACGACAATATCAAACTATTCTGCTCAGAATGTACATACGCTCAAAGAGACTGAGTGGTTGAAGTTCTCAAAACAAGATTTAAACCCTTATTCATATATGATTCCATTAATTACATATCAGATAATTGAAAATGCGTTAACATATTCTTTAACATTTTTTCTCAGCTTTTCTTTAGTAAATATCCATTTTATGTTACATTACGCGTAAATGTATTCTATAATTGATTTTTATTTTTAATCATTTCTACGGTAAAACAGGATATACATAGGTATGGATACTTTTGGGCATAAAAGTGATTCATTTATTGTCTTTCATCGATCTATTTTGTAGCTTATTTTTGTCAATGAACAATACTAAGAATAGATTTATTAAAATTGTCATTAAACTGACAGTCAGTTTCTTTTAATATAAGTGAATGAAACAGAAAAAATAAAACAAAAAAACAAACTATTTACAAAATTTAAAATTCACTTACTTTCGGTAAATCAGTCAGTTCGATTTTATATTGTAATGAAGTAGCTGGATGTCTTGGTGGAACTGATGGTGGACAGGGTGGGGAAGATGGTGGAGGTAAAGGTGGTGTTGGTGGCGATGTGGATAATTTAAAATTTGTTGTTGAAGAAACAGATGTACTAGTTTTTGTTGAACAGTTGAATTCAGAAGTTGTAGATACATTTAAATTGGTAATGATATTAGAGGATTTATCAGAAAGTTTGTCTATAACTAATGAACGAACTTCATCTGGACGACAATGTTCATGATAGTGCGGTGCTTTCAAATCAACATTTGTAGAATTCATTATTGAATCTTGAAGTGGTGTCGGAGGAGGAGGTGGGAACCAAGTATTTGTATTGACTAATGAATGAGGTTGGGTAGGGATATTTACAGTTTTCTTGGATGGGGACAGATACGAATTAATCGTATCTGAGGTTAAATGACTCTATAATCAAGTAAAAATGCACAATTAATAATTAAATGTTTTGATGATTACTAATTTATCATAAGAAAACATCATTAATACTTACTTTTATAGATCAGCTAATTCTGTAACTAAGAAGTGAAATGCTCTTCTCCATGTTAAAATATATATGAAATGAAACTGTGATTTTTTTTCACACTAATTCAAATAGATTAAGAACTGTATATGTGTATAGTAAACAAAGGATTAGAGAAAATAAATTGAGATACAATAAATGTACTTACTTACGCCTGTTACACCTCGTGAAGGAGCATAGGCCGCTCACCAGCATTCTCCATCTAATCCTGTCATTGGCAATCTTTTACAGTTGTTATTCATCCTTTTCATATCTGATTCTATTGTCTGACGTAATGTGTTCTTTGACCTTCCTCCTTTCCGCTTCCCTTCAGAATTCCAAGTTAGGGTTTACCTCGTGATGCAGTTTGATGGTTTGCGTAATGTATGTCCTATCAATTTCCATCGTCTTTTCCTAATTTCTTCTTAAGCTGAAAGCTTGTTTGTTCTCTGCCACAGAAGGCTGTTGCTGATGGTATCCGGTCAATGGATGTTGAGTATCTTGCATAGACAGCTGTTTATAAATAATTGTACTGTCTTGATGATGGTTGTAGTAGTTCTCTATGTTTCAGCTTCGAACAGCAGAACTGCCTTAACGTTCGTATTGAAGATTCTCACTTTGATATTGGTTGAAAGTTGTTTTGAGTTCCATATGTTCTTCAATTGTAGGAATGCGGCCCTTGCTTTGCCAATCCTCGCCTTTACGTCAGCATCTGATCCTCCTTGTTCATTGATGACGCTACTCAGGTATGTGAAGGATTCTACATCTTCCAGAGTTTCCCTATCAGGAGTGATTGAATTGGTGTTTTCCGTGTTGTGTTTGAGAACCTTGGTTTTCCAATTGTGTATGTTGGGGCTTACTGATGCAGAGACTGCTGCTACACTGGCTGTCTTTATCTGCATTTGTTCATGTGTATGGGATAAGAAGGCTAGGTCATCTGCGAAGTCCAGATCGTCTAATTGGTTCTGAGCTGTCCATTGTATTCCGTGTTTTCCCTCAGATGTCGAGGTCTTCATAATTCAATCAACCACCAGAGGAAAGAGCAAGAGGGAGAGTAGACAGCCTTGTCTGACTCCAGTCCTTACTTGCAATGCATCTGTCAGCTGTCCTTCATGCACGACTTTGTACTGTAGTCCATCGTATGAGTTCCGGATAATGTTGACAATCTTTTCAGGAACTCCATAGTGTCGAAGAAGTTTCCATAATGTTTCCCTATCTACACTGTCAAACACTTTTTCATAATCCATGAAGTTGATGTCCAGTGACCAGTTCCACAATAAATGTTGCCACAGTAATTAAACAGGCTTACATTTTTTAGGTAAACAAATAAGTTAAGTATTCAATTAAATAAGAAAAAAAATACTTCTACAAAAATTCAATTACACTGATAATTCTTTTCATCTAAAATCATTAGAAAATACATACTGTTATAAAGAAGCTATTGGAAATTATTTATATAATGAAAGTTGATGAATCACATAGAATCGTTTATTTATTTATTATATATACAGATTCCTTTATTTCTCCTTTTTAACAGTCATATAGTTCTAAGTTAATATTAGTCTACACATTACAATTATCATTCTTAATCTATGCAAAATAGCAACTAATAAACATTAGATTTATATTATAGTCAGGAAGTGAAATATGAGAATTATTATCTCATTTCTGTGAAATTTCTTGACAGTTTAAGAAGTGTATTTGTTTCCTCTTCTTCTTCTTCTGTTGTTGTTATTATTATTTTACTGATTCTGTTAAACTAGACAATCATATATCATCCTATAGATGTTGATTTGATTATTGAAAGTTATAATTCTCATAAAGAAATCATAATCATTATTATCAGGATTATTATAATATTTAATAATTTATTCTGGTGGTCTGTTGAGAATGGTTAAATTATCAATTCCCATGAAAGAATAATTTTTTGAAAAAAAAACTTTTATCCCACATATGCGTATATATATGTTTTGAACATTTGTGTGATTAAGTTTTTGTTATTATTATTCATTTTGACTTGTATGCTTCATATCGAAGGTTAACTGGATGGAATATTCAACACTGAAGTGGCAAGTACATTTACATTAGTTTAAACCATGAACTGATCGTGCCTAGATCATCAATGAAAAGCTTGAAAGCAATGAACGGCCGTTTCATTTTAGGATAGGACACCTCAACAGTGCACATCATTGACTCATCCACTCCAGACAATGGATGAAGGTTACTTAATACTGTGGAATCAATAAAGGCTATATATGTACACCATTGGATATCAGCTAGATGGTCTAGACGTCAAGGATTCCTGAGTGAGGTCGAAGATCTTAGATTCTATTTTTGGCAAAATCATGAACACGCACCGCTGGAGAAACGTACAAAGGTGAAACGGTCATCCAGTGATTCCAGGTTTTCAGTGATGGTTTAGTTAAGATAAGACTAAGATTCAAACTATGAAAACTCCTCAATCTCCATAAATCCTCGTAAACTAATATCTAAAATAGCTAGTTGTGTAGAATGTAAATGTAAATTTTGAAATGAACTACCATATTTAGAGTAACTGAAATTCTTCATTTATTCATCAAAAGTAGCTGTGATAAATACTTAATGAAAACTACAGAGAAAAGTGAATATGTGTTCACATAATGTGAGTTTGAAATTCATCATTAATAAGTTTTTCTACATCTATAAATGACTGTTTAATCAATACTGTCGAATGATGGAAATTTTGTTTACACAGTCATATGTTTGACATTAAAGAGGAAGAATGTGTTTGTAAAATCTCAGCGAAAGAATTTGAAGAAAATCCAACGTTTCGCCCGGCAATCTGGTCCAAGCTTTTTCAAGGATTTACTTCAAATTCATTCGCCCAAATTTTACAAATACATTCATTCACTTTAATGTCTCACATTAATTCGGGGCCCAAATATTGTGAAACTATTCGTTGAAATCATTTGTTTGGTTGTATAAATCGATTCACATAAACTTGACAAAATAATAAATGACTTATTTTCAATTTGGTATATAACTATCAAGAATATAAAAAGATGAGTGTTTGCTAAAAATAAGTTCTTATAATTCATGCAAGTTAAAAAGAGTTACAAATATCTTCAAACAATTCATTCATGGCTCATACGAATTACAGATTTCCTTGATTAAATGCAATATTCATTGGTAAACCATGAATGAAGGTTTACTTTCGGTTGAGAATGTTAAGCAAGAGATATTTGCAATTCTAAAGGAACTGACGTTCACAATTAAATTTGAATAAGTATCTCACAGTGACAGTCAGAAATGTCGCCAATGAGCTATTCGATTCGAGGCTTCTACTAACTACTTTTTACTAACTACTTAATGAGTGAACATATGTGAGAATCTTTATTAAAGTATACTGTTTGAAGATCTAATTATTGTCGTAGGATAAATATTTAAAGGAATGTTATTGATCATTAAGTTCATTGAAGTGAATGTTACGCGAAAAAATTTACACCTTGGTTTCTAATAAACAAAGTATTGAAACAGGATGTTTCACTTTATGAATTGAACCAACGACTGTACATAATCACTTTACAGGTCATTTATAATGAGTGGATTAAGCTTCATATGAATGTAGGTAATACTTATATTTTGGGTGACCATACTGACATACAAAGTAGTTAACCTAGCTGAATGAAATACATTGGTCAACAGAAGATCATATTATTAGATGTGCCAAATAGTTTAATTATGTTAGATAATTTTTTTCAAGTACAAGACGAATGTAAATAACATTTTACTTAATTGCATTTTTCTTTCATATTGTATCGTTTGTGGTCATGAGCAATCAAAATTTAATCTACGAATAATTACATCAAAATATTTATATACCAAGACAAAAAATGTTTTGAATATTATTAGTTCATATAAAACTGTGGTGAGACTATAATTTATGGATGACCTTTGACAGACGGCAAAATGGCCTTGAGAATACTCACTTACTTACTAGTGTTAATTAAGAGTTATAAACCTGTGCAAAGAATAAGGACCATAGTTTACAGTTGATGGTTAGGGTTAGGAATTAGATTTAAAGTTTTCATCAAGAATTGACATCATCTAAAATCTCAAAACGCTCTTTAACCAAATGGATGAATAAATTTCACATCAAAATCCAAGAACTGTTATCTTATATTTGATTGATTCATCCATAAATTATAGTCTCGCCACTACAGTAATATTTATTTTAACTCACTTTATTATTGCTATCACAAGCGGAAAGAGAATCATGTACAAGACTAGCTGATGTAACTGTCATTATGTCGGAATTTGTTTGAGTACTTTGAGTTGAAACTCTGTGTGTCATAATGTCTTTGACATTGTTGTTCATGGGATTTTTCGTAATGGAGGAATTATCAATAAAAGTTGGTGTTGTTGTAACGCTGTTAACAGTACTTGTAGTAGCTAATGATTGTGAAGAGATTTCTTTTGGTAAATGATTATCATGTTCCATTAATAAATATCTGTCAATCAAATTTTCATAAATAACTGATTTATTTGATTTACTGAGATTGGATGGAGAGATTTCATGAACTGCTGCACCATCTGGTGGACATCTTGGTGACATGCATATATGTGGTCGAGAATTTTGTAAGAAATGAGATTTGTTGTAATTCTGTTCACCTGTTGATGCATTCATAAGATCCAATTGTTTCTTGATTCTACACTCTTTAGATTCTTCACGTAACTGTATTTTGATTGGTTGAGAAGTGATTAGTGTATCCTGTTTCACTGAAATTTATAAAGAGATAAGTTGTGGAAAATTAGCAGTCCTACTAATCATTTCATTTTTAATCTGTCTGAGTTTATTTATCGTTATACATAATGAAGTTTTTAAATGTTTCCATTTATCATTTAAGTATAAAGTTGAGTGAAAAATATTAGTTATTAAGTGATAGCCGCTGTAAGACCTGAGACAAAAATGCATTAGCCAAATTGCCCACATCATATAACCACCCAGATATAAATTTGGCAAAATGAAAATCATAGAAATTGAAATATTAGTGGCACCTATGATAATATGGAAGACTAAATATAGAGAAAATAGTTAATAAAGAAGAAAAGTATGGGAGAATATTACAATTCATGACCTTGAAAAGACAAAAAATGAATAAATTTGGACCGTGCAGTTCGATTTTAAGTCATATCATACAAATTTTTAACATCTAATTGAGTTTATAGCTTCAGCTTAACCAAGTAATCTGTATCTACTAACATGGCTCAGATAAACAGTTAGTAGAATCATGGATTGGTGATACAAAATGGTTTTGGTAACCCTAGGATTTATTCAACCTTCTCTTATCTCAATCATCATTGAGCGTTGAAATAGATGATTGTCGAGCCTATGTAGTGAGATTCCTAGGCACCTTAGTGAAGATTCACGGTCATAATGATCGATTTGTTATCTTAAACCAGTATTCTATTTACTTACATATTAAGTTACAAATATCTTCGTAAAACCGATTATATTAGTAGCTTAGTAAAAAGAAAACTAATAAATACATGTAACTTATCAAGTATAGCTTCATGTACCAGAATTTGAGGGCTGGAAACATTATTCGGCTTCATGTAGTGATAAAAATGAAGAGGGGAACTGAACCTGGATCCTAATATTCACTTAATCATTAATCTACATGATCATTATCTGATCGTATTTTACAATTTTGATAAATGAACTAGAAAAATATAATGGCTAAATGTAGAAATTCTAATTTATAGGTTACATATTTTATCTTACGGCTAAGTTTTTCTGTCAACTTGAATCGTATCATTGAATTTAAATATTTTAATTGTATGTATTTTATGATTAACATCTATTTCTGCTTTATAGTTGTTATTTAGAGTAAATCAGCTACTAAAATTTATTTTTAAAGACTTTTATTGCATAAAATGACATTATACCTTATACTTCTCTTTCTGGAGATAAACCCATTTTGGTGACTGAAACTCGTTTAAGTTAGTGAAGTGACAGTATGACATCATTCCTTTCAAAAGTGAAATTACACTGAATACAGATTTGTTGGTTACAAAAATTTATTACGCTCTCATATCTCTGAAGTATGCTTTCAACTTATCTAACGAAATCCATATCAATACTGTAAAATGAATACTTGAATAATTACTAATCAATTAAGGGTAAATTCTATTTTTCAAGTATTTTATTATTTCCACTAACTTACTTGTGCATTTTTTATCTTGTAAAGATGAAGAATTACAATTTGTCAAATTAGTATTGGTTTTATTATTATGACTGATAATTGGTTCCTTTTCAAGTAAAGTTGATGTGGATATTATCTTAGTATCAATATTATTGGGTATTTTTTGCTTGTCAGAAGGATAATTTGATAAAGAATCAGCTTTTATCCTATGTGAAATGAGTAGAAACAAAACAATAATTAAATATAGGCATAGAAACAAAAAAATCTATGAATAAACTTAGCTTAAAATAGTAATTTTTCTGAATAACTGACTACTGTTGAAAATATTTGTTTTCTGGAGACTATATAATCCAATTTCCTTTCACTGCTATACATGTCTTCGATGTGGTATGTGAAGTATATATATATATATATATATATATATATATATATATATATATATATATATATATAAGCTGAGTATTCCAGTTTTAAGAGATTCATTTATATAGTTTTAAAGCACATCAATCTTTCGATTTGACTAATTTAGTAACCAAAAAGAAACAGGTTGATATCGATTCCCCCACCCCAAAAAATCATCATTTGTGTTTACTTTTTGTATTTTTTCACATTACTGAATTGAGTTTATAGTTTTGTACAAGCACTAACTGATAGTTGATTAAAAAACTCGATACACTGAGATAATAATCAAAAACCTCAATATTACCACAGAAAATTATCATTTATTTTGATAGAATCCTTTGTATAATTTTCTAGACAAAACGTTTAATGACAATTAAGTATAAAATGATGTTATTTTAGCGTATTCAATGATAAGACTAACTTAGATATCATAAATAATAAAACTATACTAACGATAAATAGTTTGTGTTATCACAGTATTTTAAAGCTTCTTGTGTTTGCTTAAAGACTTGGACATTATAGGTTTAATATCTGTACAGATTGTGTTTGTAAACGTTTTGAGAGTGACATACTACAATGAAATGATCAGTCAGTCCTCCATGATTTCTAGTGATTGTCTAGCTAGGGTTTATCTGTGACCTATCTGTAAAAAAATGCTCTTTTTGAACTGATTTCTTTTTCGAAATCGATCTTAAAAGTATCGGAATGAATATTGCTGAACTTATGTTCGTATTTCTCTTCATAATTGTTACTGCTCTTAAGAACAGTGATTCTTTCTTGACGATTCAAACTTGATTTAATTCCTATTTCATTTGAAGTGATCAAAGACTGAGAATACAGAACTCGATATAATATTCATTTCGAATTATACATAAGATGTTCCATGTTCATCTTTTTGACTAATGTCGAAGATTGTAAAAATTAAGAGTCAAGGTTTTGTTACCAAATGTCAATAATTATCCAGGTTATGTAAACAACTTGGTAACTACTGTACATATATAATGAATAAATCTGGACATTGTTTACTGTGTCTATTTATTTTTCGCTACAACCATTACACCAAAAAATGGATTAAATCTAATAGGTTAGTTGGGATAATATTAGTCTATATGCTTATCAACCTACCCCTTGCTGTCCATATTTCAAAAATGAGAAAATGTTGAAATTTCAAACATGAGCTTATTTTCTATCGATCATAGTTTAGACATTTAATTTAACAGAAGAACAAGTAACAATCTAACAATTGAGATTACGAAAACAGGCAGAGAGATACTTAAACAAGACTGGATCTGAATGATCGATCTTTATTACTTTTCTACCTCATATTATTATTATTATTGAGCATGCGTTAGATGGAGAAAGATGTTAATTGTTATTATTTTAAAAAAATGAAGTATGAAACAAGATAGAAACTGAACAGTGAATGTTGTAATTTGAGTAGAAATTCAATATTCAATTTATTTAGTTTACCAGACAGGGATATATATATGTATAATTGAACGGATTTTTTCTTAAGCATGTCTATATGCTTTAAAACTATCTTTCTTCCCAATCAGTCAGTCTTGAATCGGTCACATAGTAAAATCATCTCAAAGCATAAAATTTTTTAGAGAATATTTGATATTGAATAATATATGCATATATATGTATATATACATTAAATAGAACTGTAATTTATCTACTGATTAATATGACAACTAAGAATAAATTAATCCTGAAGTTCCTTTTTTTTCTATATTTTCTTAAATAATAAATTAGTAACATTAAATAAATAGACCCCTTTCATATTTTATAACTATGCTTTTATGTAAAATTCACTGATGGGAGATAAGAATTTATATACTTTAGGTGAGTAATACCTACTTAAAATTTAATTATAGAGAAATATATTCTAATTAGATATGGGTATAATTCATATCTAAACTAATGAATATTATAATGACATTCTATATGCTTTCGTATAAACTGATGCAGGAAGGTATATATATATATAATTATAAATAATTTATTGGTGATAAAAATAAGAATAATTTAATGCAGCAATGATCATCTTACAGTTTTAGTTAAGTATTATACATAAAATAAATATTCAATTCAATAAAACAATAAACGTTATTTATTTGAAACTGGTCATTTTATATATTGGATGAAATCACTTCAAAGACTAAATGGTTAAGTTTAATCTGAGACGTGCGACTGCTGGGCGGACATGGGATGTAGATGGCTCAGTAGGCCAGTGGAGCACAGGTGTTAGACGTCTCAGGTGTCGGGTGGATATCGGATGTTAGTGCCCCGGCAGGTCGACAGAATTATGGAGGTCAGCGCGCCGCAGAATCAACATTTTGACTAAGAGCGTAGCACAGACTGCAGAGGAGAAGTGGTACGGTGATCAGAACCACCGCAGGAACGAATGCTTTAAATGGGGGGACGAGTGTGATGTGGGTTACTTATATCCACACAAGTAGTATATAACGGTGGTCAGGTATAGAATGTATTTCAGTAGAAACTCGATGAGGGAAGAACGGAAACGGAAAGGAATTAGTATGAAAACGCATGAACAATGAAATCTGAGACAATAGATTGATGTTTGCAACAGGAACAATCAAGTTTGAGATGATGGATTGATATTTTGTAAATTAACGATTTACTATATGGTTCTCAGATTTGATTGAGATGCTCTGTAATTTCGTGTCAAATACATTCGATTGTCCCCACCCGTGTTCTATTCTACTGACTAAATAACATTTAAAAGAAAAGTTTACATAGTAATTCAACACTATTACTTATTATGAAGTTCAAATAAAACGAGAATAAACATGGATGGAGAATAATATGAATTCATTATATTTCATGGTTTCTTATCAATTGCTTACAATCATATGTGTATTAAAATTTCATATTGAATTTATATTATTTTGAATCCATGTTCGTTCTCGTTTTATTCAAATTCACAAAGGAAACTAATTGCATGAAACATTACGAAGCTATTTTAAAAAAAAGATTTCAAGATTAAATATTATCTGTTGTTAAAGAAAGACAGTTTGTTAGTTCAAAATCTTTGGTTTTAGTGCAAATCTATCCATGATATTGTATATAAAGTTATGTGAATATCATTGTTCTACTATTAGTTAGATTTACATAATCACTATCAGTTAGGTTTGATAGTGTTTTAAGCTCTACTGATTAATGTGACAGTTTCTATCACAAGAGATAAAGAATTGATAAGTGTTTCAAAGTTTCATTAATAACATTTCATTGGATAGACTAATAAGATAAGGAACTTTAGTTTTAACAGAATAAGCTTGTATCATACGCTAAGTTGATATAAGTTATTTTCTTGTTTATTTGAACGTTAATCGTTACTGCACTTGGACTGTTAGTGAATATGCCATTTAAGTGAAAACATAATGTAAAATCAATAAGGTTTATAAGATTGTTAGCTTTCGTGTACGCTGTTGAAGTATCAGAGACATTATGGAAGAGTTAATAGGAATCTTTATGTGTCCAACAAATTTAATAATACATTAACTTTTTAAAAAAAAGTCAAGTTCAAGCTTCCCATTTTATCTTATTGAGATAGGATTCAAAGATAACAACAAAGGATTAAAAGATTAGCATCCATTCAAAACTTAATTTACAGGACACAAAGTACATACATTATTTCACTACAGAGATTTTTATGATTTATTTAATTTCCAGTTGGAAGATGGTTGACAGATATTACGAATTAATAGAGGTTAAACAAGTAAACCGTTGATTAAGGTCCTAAGTTCCATGTCTGATGACAGACATGAATACCTCTCCGTTGTGGAATCCAATACTAGAACAAAACAGTTGTATAGTGCTTACTGCTTTCCATTGGCTATTTAACTAAGATCAATTCATGATGTTAACTAAAAATCACTTCACATAAGTGCCATTTTAGAATGTGTAGCAAAAGGACGAGTGTTCCGATAATACGTTGTTGTGAATACATCTGTTTGAGTGGAAACGTTCTGTAGGAATCATTCGTAGCATACTGTTTCAAATAATTCATGAATATAAATAAGTGACTATCTAATCAGCTTACATGTATGCATCTTATGAATTAACAGTATCATTAAATTCCATAAAGTTAACGAATTTCAAGCAAATATTGAAATAATTTACTACTCTGATAGCATGACGTTGAAATATATGGATAATCTATGAAATCACAAATATCTGAATCCACAAAATATCCTAAATAAATTAATTTACATATGGAAATAATTAAATTTTTTCCGACATATGTTCCCCAATGAACTAACAGGATTTTCTCACAGCTGTCAAGACATTATAATCATCTGAACTATTGTTCTATAAAGAGTAAATAATTTCATATTCATAAACAAACATTGAAGGCAATGGTGGGCGGTGGCGCAATTTCGTGGATTGGTTAAAGTTAGACATTAACATTGTTGGATGCCGGCTCAGTGGTCTAGAGAAACCGATAAGTCCTGGGTTCGAATCCCGCCGACATGATAGTGAATGCACACTGCTGAGGAGTCCCATACTACAACGAAACCGCCGTCCAGTGCTTCGAAGTTTCCGATGGTTGTCTAGCTTCAATTGACTCATGAATCCAACTATTAAATTATTTTATCCAATAACGTATCAATTAATAAAACTCAAAATATTATTTTATTTTTCAATTAACCATTTAAAAAGACCAATAAATTAACTTTAAGAAACTACTAATTAATTTGTATGATCAACCGAAATTTTAAATTTCGGATCAATTTGGTTAGGTCTCCAAAATATACCAATGATATACTTCTCTATA